TGGGACACGCAATTTGCGGTTGCGCAACAAATGACACGCGTATGCGTGTGCGTCACGATCACACTATCAGTTAAGCTGTTTGCATGCTAAGCGTCCATTTACTTGTTTACTATTGGGAAATACAAATAACTGTTTAAAAAAATAATTACGATAAGTGGAGATCTTAGTGTTTGTAAACTTTATACGTACAACAACAACAACACAGCCCAAATGAGAGGCTAAACGCGGAAACAGTGACCAAAATACAAATACCATAAGTGGAGACTATAGTGTAAACGCAGAGAGCTTTTATAAAAATAATAATGTTTACAGTCACAAAAATGTAGGATTTAAAAGGAAGTAGCTGCCGCGGTTAAGTATATAAGACAACTTATATGTCGAATTCATTAAGAGCACTATTAACTGAAATTTCTCAACGCAGTGTGTTTTTTTTAAAGGTGTTTTCAAGAACGATTTTCATTAGGCAATTTCATTAGGTAAAGTCAAGTCGTCTTAAAAAGTTTAGCTAAATTTTAATTCTTATGAGTATTAGCAATTATAATAATTACTCCCTAATTCTAAAGGGTATTAACATTACTAATATGAGTAATTACTCATTAATACCTAACTTAAAATATAATTGTATAAGTAGGTACATAAAATAAGTAGTAAAGTGTTTGCGGCCGCGACAGAACCCGATTCTCACGGGTCGAGTGAACTTTTTGACACTTCCAGGTGTCCAATTTTTTATCCTCGCAGACAATAGAGACGTGTTTACCCAGGCCCACATCTGGGCGGACGAAAAAACAAACCGGACCTCTCGGAGAGGCGCTAATGAGCGCGGGTACACTGGATACAGGGATATACAGGCATTCTTGTATTCGACCCCACGACTCGAGAATTAAAGATGGTGTTTATCATTCGTGTTACAGCCATTCCAGTCTAAACGACGCAGATGTTGTGGGAGGACAAGGGAACGTTTGTGAAGTTAACGACGTTCCTCCTCCTAACACTGAACTTGGGCGATAAAAAGGCCATGAAATTAGCATTAAAGATAACTACCGTTCGAGAGGGGTAGGTCAGGGGCTGATGGCCCAAACATCGACATTAAATGATGTTGAGTAATGAAGGTACACACTATACTAATGCGTTATACATATCTTAAAAAGCGGATAATGTCTTCTTAAGAGTAGTGTTTAAGTACATACACATGCATTACTGTATTTTATTGGAGAGATTATACTTTATACTTTAAATAAAATATAAGATGCATCGGAAAGACTCGAAACTGATGAATATTTATATAATAAAAATAATAATTAGACATATTTATTGTATCTAATAATTACATATAATATTTAAACATGACATGGAGTGGCTTTAAAGTTTGGAACATGTATTTTACTTAAAATGTAAGTTTAGTTGTTTATGATATTATGACGGTACAATACATGTAGTACTAATCAAAGCTTGTGTTCTGTATACTTGAACACATCTAAAATAATACAAGCAATCATACTCATGAATACAAATGTTTGTACCATGCGAGCAATTCGAACCATTGGAAGTAAGTCGGTATGCTAAACAGATAAATTAGCCAGGTCGTCATTATTATGCTCCCAAATTTGTGATATACTTAATATAGTAGGCATTTTTCTTTCAGTATAAAAGCAAACATTACTGCTACAAAAATATTTCCGTGTTATTAAATGAAACGTTTCGATTTTCTGGTCATTCGCGCATAACATAAAAAGGGGCGAGCCGCGACCACGCGGCATCGAGTAGAGCCAATCTCATAATTCGAGTGCGGATGTGAGAGAGCGGATGTGGCAGTTTCTTTCCGCACATTTAGCGCCTCCGTGTGGCAATTGGCGAGTTGTTACCGATTTACGACCCACTCTAAAGTTTATTCAACACGATTTTGGTGGTCCCATTGTGTCTTTCCCACCGCGCCGCCGCCGCCCGAGCAGCCTTGCCAGCTTACTGATGTCTCGAGGGGCCTTTTATGGCGTTCCGTTTTATAGTATCTTTATTTCATTTGCATTCTCGTACAAACCATGTCATAAACGGGTTTCACTCCAAAATATCTAAATTAAACGTTTGACACGACTTTTCGATCAAATTCTAATCGAGATTGCTCAAGTTGTGATGTATAAAAAGTTCTAGTTGTAAAAAGTTCGATTTAGATAATGGATATAACATCGTGTGGGTCGACGCGACGGGATTTTGCATAATTACGTTTTGCGCGTGGATCGTCACCTCTTTGTCGGCGCGCGCGCAGCTCTCAAACGAGTCGATAAGTGGACCGAGCCGTGATAAGAGCCATCTCGCCCGAACGGTAGCTGAGTGGACGGATTTGTCAATGTATGGTCAACAAGGGAGGCGATACCTCGTACACTATTGAAAATACATATTTGTATTGTACGTACGCTTGTTATATTTCCTGGAATTGTAAACATATCGTTGCCTAAACAGCTTGTCATGGAGCTGTACTTACATAATGCTTTGGTTATCAGTACGCAGAAGCAGGATGTCCTTTCACGACCATCGCATGTCAAAATATGTATACTCGATATTTATGTGTATTCTATAACATTTATCAGATTTTGTGTGACATTTCAGATATATTTATTTGCATAATAATGTCTTAAGTCAAACACCATGTTCTTTAAGATACTATGGCCTATCCATACTCGACTTATCTTGATTTGCTTTTATAATTTAAGATTTTGTACAAACAAAATCAGTTGTTTGCAATTGCATATAGTATATATATAGTATTTACCATGATAATTTATTTATAGGGATGCTTATATTAGTATATACCGACGTGATTATAAACGTTCACTCACGGTTCAACGGAGATGGCGGCCCGTGATTATCCCGTTTACATAATGTGCAAAAAAATCATCAATAGAAACAAAAAAAAATACGATACTAATATTAAGGTCCAAATCTAAAATTATATCATTAACTGCATAGTGTACTGTGTTCGAGATCGTGCCTTGAATTCGAACTCAAATCGAATAGATATCAAATAGTATTACTAAATGCTCTCCATTTTTTAAACATTTAAATTTTATTTTAATTATAATCTCACTTAAAAAGAGCAAGAGCAGTTTCTCCTTGGTGCTTCTCGCCACAAGTATGTATAATTATTCCGAATTTTCGGTACATTTGTAGTAGACTTAAATGAATAAAGATATTATGAATTGGTTTGAGTCGAACAAGGTAAGTACCACCAATATATTATATTATAACTGTACGTTGCGATTATGAGTTGATTTCGATTCCATTTCTTAAAAAGTCCCTCTGATCTATAGACTTTATAGATGAGTAGAAATTCTCATGGTCTGTTGCGTTTCTGTCCGTACCCGCGGCACGTAAGGCAGTAGCCGGCGTCGTAAACTTTAAATGGGGGCTAATTTAGTTTGTTGTTAATTGAGCTTCTGTCGGCACTGGATGGGAGGCTCTCCGGCTGGTCGCTATCTACAGGCTGCATTAGCGTCCGCCGACCACCGCCGCCGAGCCGCAGCTTCACCGATAACGCTGTTATGACTGATCTAACCCAACTGGTTCTTGTTTTACACGATGGACTTTGGACGATGTATGAATAAAATTATAATATACAAACTTATTAACTAAGTACGGTCATATGAAATTATATCCAACACCCCTAAAACAGGAGAGACGTGATACTCCAGCATATCGTGGTCAATGAATAATAATAATGCAATTGATATTGTGTATATTATTACGATAATTACTTATTTTATAATGTAAGCCTGTGATGAAAGTTTTTCAGTACTTATTTACTAAAATATTTTTTCTGATTTAACCGTGACTCGTAATTCTAAATGTGATATACACAATTACAGGTAATGTATTTTTTATATACTGCATTTTGTCCTCTTCTTAAATCCTATAGATCAAGTTAAAAATTATACTCATATAATTAAATATATTGTTTCGGTTTATGTAAAAACAAATACCCGTGCAAATTATATAACAGTAAAGACTAGAATTTAACTAAATGATGCATTAAAACCTTCACAGTGTGCACAGGCAAAACAAATCAAATATATTTTTTTCTATTTTTATCATACTCAATACACTTAAGAGTTATTTATTGGAATGATTGACGAATTATGTATACTTTGGTCTGCAGCGACTCCGGCGGCCGAGAGGCAGATAACCAGCGGCGCCAGATGTATCTGTCTTTATGACACACTGTCGCTTTATGGACGAACAAACGGGTGCCAAAAGCCCCTCGTTGACCGACACTTTTACTCGTATCACGGTCTTTTATAACAACGATAAATGCCTAAGAATCCTTTTCCGCCATTGTTTAATGCACACTTGGACTCTGGCAGCCGTAACTTTATTATCACCTTCTTTGTTTCTATTCTCGGCTCCTTTTTGTCGTTAATGGAATTAAGCGTACTCGTATGTCGTGAGTGATTTTTTTATGCTGCTCCTATTGTGTGGTAGTGAAATTATGATTCCATTTATTGGAATAGGGTTTTTAATTTTACACATTTATCTATTAAATTAATGAAAACGGAAAGTGCACTAAATGTCTTTCTATGATGTAATACTAATGGTAACCCTGGATAATTCATCAATTAATATGTTTTTAAATACTTAATATACATATAAAACACTCAAACCAATACTAACAATTATATATAATCGTGAATAGAAATGTTTGTATCCTGAGAAGAACCAAACCCTTGGTGGGTTTGGTTCCTCTCAGGATACAAACATGGTGGTGTGCTAAACCGCTAGACTACCGAGGCCGATGCCGTGATTTTTGCACAAAAAACAGTTTAGTCGTTTCCAAGATTAAAGCGTACAAACACAAAGGCAAACAAACCAAAATTATAACGATCATTGTATTGAATTCTTTTACGTTGATAGAGTGAAATGAAAATAAAAAAAAACTATTATTGGGGATAACTATTATGCAGTAGGTTTGTATGTGTAACAAACTCTACCTAAATTGATGGTTTCTTTTGCAGACGCATGTTCCCGTCCCTCCGGGTATCTCTTGCCGGATTAGACCCACGTGAGGAGTACTGCGTTCTCCTTGAACTGTCACTAGTGGGGCGCCGTCGTTGGCGATGGGCCGGAGGAGCTTGGGCAGCGGCAGGTGGCGCGGAACCCCAGTCCCCTAGAAGGCTGATGTTACACCCTGACTCGCCAGCTCCTGGTCATCATTGGACTGCTAATCCGGTGTCATTCAGCAAACTCAAGCTTACAAATAACACTATGGATGCACAAGGACATGTAAGTTGTTTTTTTTATTATTAACCTAGCGATTCGTCACGGCTACACACGGGGTTTTACAAATCTTAGAATTTTTTAGCTTTTTTGTACTATGATATGCATATTACATATATAAACATTCCTTTTGAATCACTCTAGCTTTTGATGAAAACATCATTAAAATCCGTTGCGTAGTTTGATAGATGCAACAAGATAGCGGCAGTGACTTTGTTTTATACCTATGTAATATGTATGTAAAGATAATTTATATTTTATAATAATAAATTATAACTATCCGAACAATTGGTTTTTGTAGCCAATCATAATTTATAGCAGTAAATTATTTGAATTTACTGCACATTACAATTTACAATACATTTGCAGTTTTTATGCTTGCAAAAGAATTTTAATTTAACTTTAAATTATATTTTTACTCTAGCCTAGAGACAATCGGTAAATACATACATCACAAAAATATTGAAAGAATCAATATATAGAAGGTTTTTTTTAAAACATGTAATGCTCTGAATTATAATGATCTATATTTTTAAGTTTTTATTTATTATTTTACAGGTACGTATAAAAAATAGCTCAATTTTAAATAGGGGATGATGTCTATTATCTTTTATATCTTATATAAAGACTGTCTTATTTGTCTTATTTTATATCTCGTTAAATGAAAAGACTTTCTAACCAAACTTTCAGACTAAAGTATGTACCTGTTAGATAAAATCGGTGATTTTGCTCATTGGCATGTGGAATAACAATAGCATACCATCTACCTAGTAAATGGTGATTAAGGATTATCGCCGATAACACCATATTTCTAAAGGACTAATGCCTTAAGAATTTTGTTAATTTGCAATATACTCTACATTAATACAATGCATTATGAAAATTCTTTATCAATTACTCTCTAATAAGTATTATGCACGCAATAAAAAGGGTATCATTATGATGCATCTTTGGCCATCTATCCATCTGTCACAACATACTCGTATAGGAGTATTTGCGCAATAAGGTTCTAATCGTTTTTTTTTCTTTGGTTTTGAAGATGTAGGTTTTAAATATAATTTACATAACCTTATTGAATTACTATAAAATATATTGTCAATATTTTTTTTATTATTCTTTATTCAACCTTTGATTCAATTCACATTCAGCTTGCGATCGTATAATGCAAGCAATTATAATACAAATATAAAAAAAATATTTGTGTGAAACTTATTTCTCTTTCAAATACTTTTTTCTCGTCCAAAAGGCAACTACTTACTTTGTTGATGTAAAAAAAGTTAACAGCCTTAAGTTACACCTCGAGGCTCTACCCTTGCACCCTATACAACGTTCTGTGAATATTTTTTATACCATACCTCAAATATAGGTACGCTTTTTATACCATCAGTAAATAATGGCATATACATGTGTTTAGCTTGAGTGGTATTTGTGTGCTTATCTACCCATTGCAAAGTTAAATCAGAGAGTTTTAGTCATCCGAATAGTAATAGGAGAGTTTGATAGAGGCCTTATAATAAGAGAACAGATAATTTTTATTCAAAGTCGATTATATAATCTGTTATTAGTCGAAAATGTAACTGTAACGTCGAATAAATAACAAAAAAATTAAATCAGTCTAGTATTTTACCAATAAAGTATCCCAATAAACATACAAAAGTTGTATTCTCTCCTCTTTATAATATTTGTATATATTCACTAGTTATTTTCCGCTGCTCTGTATGAACCTATACGGTCCTACCTATCTTTCTATGCCTGTCAGAATTTTTGTTTCTTAGTTCCTAACCTAACCTACCTAAGTAATGGATACTCAATTTCTTAATTTATAATCTATATTTTTTTTAACTTTATGTTGATAGACTAATAATTCACTCAAATAACTCTTTTGTTAGGTAAATACCGGTTTTGTATATTACGACTAACTATTCTGATAATAACTAAACCGGCTTTATTAGGTATATAATCATCAATACTATTATAGTTAACAATACCGTCTTCTATCTGACATACGCAACGTGAGCAACCTTCGATTTTTATAGCCGAACCATTCGTGACTAGGCTGTACACTGCCTACATACTTTCAAAGGAAACGCCTACCAAGCAACCACTTCCCCATAAATATTAGTCTGCTCACTAAACAGTTTTAAACTCTATATCTTCGCTTATAGAAATCGATACACAATAACAGCACTCGAGCTTATAGTATTTCAAAATAAAAAAGATAGTTGCTACAGCATTTGAAACGCAAAAGCATCTTTAATGTTTTGCATATAGAGTTACATTTCGATTGCATATAGTGTTTCTTAATATGCACCGCAGGAGTCTTCGGACTACAAAGACGTCTATCAGTATTTCGTCACTGGAACAAATAAATTGAAAAGCTTTGTGTAAGGCTTTGGCGCGGCGAATAACTGTGTTCCTTTATGCTGTCTGGCTGTTTATACAAGGCGGTTCACGCCTTGATTAATAACGTTGTATGTCTATGCCTTCCTAGGTTTTATTTGCACAGTCTATTTAAAGTGTCTTGTTTGGGGAAATGCTGCTACGGTAATGGAAAAAGCACACACAACTGTCGTAAAAGTGACGGCTCGGTGTTTATTAATGTTAGTAGGAGAAATGTACGCCTTCACATTGGTATTTGTAATTCACATGGGCTTTCTTTATATTATACCTATAAAATAACATTTTATAGTCTAATAATGAATACTTATATATACATTTCTGCTTGTGACCATTTTCTATACTTTTTATTATAGGAGCAACTTTCTTCCAATGAGTAAGAAATGTCTAGATAACAACAATATTAATATATTGTTTCTTTACCCATAATTGTTACTTATATACATATGGATATTAACTACAACTATACCCTGTGGTTCCGCCCACGTAAGTCGATATATTTTTAGAAGACAGTGCCTACACAATTTTCAGTTATATATTACAATTTAACTATTTTTTTTATCGTAAGACCTAAACGATTGCCGTTTCAGCCAAGAGAAAGTACTTGAGTACTAACGAGGCGCTTTTTTAAACAAATACTCTACAAAAGAATACAAATCTGTGGTAGTGATCAGAGCAGACCAGTCCCTACAAGCATGTAAATGACACGTTTAGCTATCAAAACAGTGTTTATGGGCATCAGGCATGTTATAAAACATCACAACATGTCTTATGACGGGTCGAGACAAAAACTCATGGGTGTTGCATGCTTCAGTGCGCCTCGAATGCGCCCCGTTGAAGCACAGAGCCACATCGAGATGCGCGGGCCCGGCCCCGGCGGGCGGCACCTTTGTGCACTAGCCCAACAATAGCTCTGGCTACCGAGATACCGTCAGCAGTTGTTTCGCACAGAAAATCGCTCGCTTCGCTTGTTGTGCACTTGAGGATTTGCCACCTGCGATAAAAAGGGTCTTCACCCTTTTGTTCGCGATTTTTTGACGCCACCTCCAAAGAACCGCTCGAGATGCTCTTGTGAGAATGCTAGCTAATTACGATACGGATTTGTGTGCGTGCAAATGAAAGGCAATTATAGTGAAAGGATTAAGGAATGTCTTTGTTGATTTGTAAGTGAGAAACTTTGTTCGATAATTGTGGACTTTTGTAATTCAGGGTAGATAATTAAGTACTTACCTGTGATTCCTTGTAAGAAATAACTATTCGCTTGGCATACATATTAAATAGTAATTTAGGTAATTGAATTTAAATATTAATTAAACAGATAATTTATTCTATTTATTTTAATTTCACAAAGAGCACGCTACTACTACTATCTACACAACTAACTATTATCTTTGTATATTTGTAGTTATATAATATTTATAGTCTGTGAAACTTATACACTGTAATACACAAATGCGTTTACCAAAATTGAACAGCTAATTACAGTCCAAGACAATCACAGTTGCGTGACAAAGATGCATCCGATAAAGGGATTGGGAGGGTTGTTTCGGGGCGACAAGTCAGTTAAAAACCAAACCCCACACCGGTATTAGTCTACCGCGTGCCCCGATTCTACCGATAAGCTTAATGTGTCGTTAAAATTTAACTTACATGTGTTTTTCACCTTTAAAATAACAGTCACAAAACGGATATTTATACGCCATATTTTTTTAACTTTTCCCGATAAATATCGTACCAGGGATGTCAACCGTACCGTTATGAAACTTTAAGCCTTCGGTACGAGTTCATTTTCATCCTTGTACAAGTTTGTACGAAATTTTTACCAACGGATATCGGTCAAAATACAAGATAGAAAGCCAAATTGTTTTAATATACGTGAATTTATCAATTTTATTTCTTCATATAATGCTAAATATTTTAGCTAATTAGTCTATGATTAGCAACCTGCGTAAATATTGTAGCGGCTAATATCTTTATTAATTAAATTTACGTAAGAATCGAAATTTTTTTGAAAATATATTATTACCTACATGAGTTACATAATATATTGATCATGAGAATGTTACCCGCAGTTATGAAAGAATTTTAAAAATAGAATTCTTATAGTAATAAAACAGGACTATCACAGAATAACATCAAATTCGATAAAAAAAACATTACTATACCACTTGAAATGAACTTTTCAGAACTATGCGCAAAATAAGTTTCCAATTCTAATCAATATTTCAATCAGATTTGATTGAAGACATATCAATATGATAGACAAGCTTCTGAATACCGGCATAACCGTCTGTCCGTCCGTAAGTCTTACGCACATCGAACCGATGAAACTTAATATAATGATCCTACTTATAAGATGAAATATCTGATTAGTGGCTATTTAAGATTATTTTGATTGTTAACCTTCTGACTCTACTTTCTACCGTATTTAATACACGTATTATATCTATGATAAGACATGACTTTTGTCGGCGTCTTTATAAGAAAATATAACTGATTCCCGCGACTTTGACTCTTGGAATTTGGACCCAATTTCTCGTTTGTATACGAACATTGTCTCAAAGAAAGTTTTCTGTGGAGTAAAACATATTAGTTTATAACATACTGAAATATGAATGGTAACTAAAATTACATTATAGATTACTTATCCCGTATACTTATAGTAAGTAACTTATGTGTACATATAACTCACACACATTTTGTTTCGTATACCTACCTACCTATGACCTATATATAATACCTATATATGACCTACACCTATACATACCTATGACTACTATGAGTGGTAAGTTACATTCGTCAGTGACGTGACCACAGAGACAATTTATATTTTATTATTATGACATATGTATAGGTATTAGTCTATGTATAAGGTATTTATAATAAGGGTCATTAGTAACCTGAAAAGTATAGTATAAAAATTAAGTACTTAAACATTTTATAAACTTGTTTTATTAACTACTTCCAAAAAGTTACATAAAGACTGATATTGGTTAGGGAATAACACGAAACCGTTTTACTCAGTGCAATTGTCTCGTTCTTAGCATCTTTACTCCCGTTAGGTACTATTCTTGTATTGAAGATAAAAATTATGAGAAGGTAGCAACTTAACTACTACGTTATCAGTGTTACAGTGGCGCCTGTAACCCATTATAAAGTGGCATATGCACTTGTAAAAAGAGATGTCGTGGTCGATAACGCAATCGTGACTAATTTGGAACTATTCTGAAACGTCTAGACGATTTTGGAGGTATTGGGGCATGTGTTTGCGGTACATATTTGCACATGTTTTATTGTTTTAATTAATTTTCCAAATATGCAGTTCCTTGTTCATATGTATCGTAATTATTGACCGTGACAGGTTATTAAAAATATACAACTGACTGGCCCATGCTTCGCCAGGATGGTCATAACTTTGTTGAATTTTTTTAAAGATCCCATTTTTTTTACTCGTTTTACGTTTCATAAGAAACTTCTAGATAGCATTATAAAACTTTAATTTTTTTTATATAAATAAAAAAAAATATGGAATTCGGTTAAATCGTTCTCAAATTATGGCGTGATCGAGAAAAATACATCTTTATTTTTATATAAGTAGATACATACCTATTTTTCTCTGGAGTAACTTAAAAAATAGTACGAAGTGATCACGGCAATAAATTAATCCTATTGACTGTAATTAAAATAAGAATTATCAAATTAAAAGAGCAACACGCGAGTTTCTTGCTCGTTCTTTTTGTGATTAGACAATTTTCCGAATCGGCGGTAGATTCAAAAAATTATAATTAAAGAATTTTCTATTTTCCGGTATATTCTATTCTATTAAGGAACATAAAGTTCTATTTCGATCGGTCCTAAATTTTCAAATTGATGGAAATATATGCAACAGCAGTGACGGCGCCTGCGCAGGTAGCAATATTGCACGTCAAGTACCGAAGATAAGCGTGTACACACAGACAGACGGCTGTGGCGACAAACTGACGCGACACTCCAGTCGCCAATCTGCACACTCAGCTCTAAGTGTAAAAAGATTTTTCAGTCTATTTAAAAAAGAATCCGACCTCCGTTATGTTAAAATTGGCTATTTTATGCGATATCACTGCTAATCAGAGATGCCAACCGTATGAAAATCAAAATACGACGAAGTACTTACGAGGTTAGCGAGCTAAATAGAGCTACGAAATTTTATCAATTGTTTTAGCTTCCAGCGAGGTTAGGTGTTTTAAATTTGGCAACCCTGCTGCTAATTCTGCACTGCAAAATTAGAATCAGTACGGACAATACCAACTGAAGTATTTACTCTCACAATGTCCGTTGATAACGTGGTGACTGACATGACACTATGATTACCACTTACCATAAGTTTATTTACCATTCCAGTACAAAAAATAACAATATATGAATTTGCGTATCATTTATCATACCTATACGTACAAATCACAGATATAAGTAATGAATAATATACTAACTGAAATGGTAAATAAGCTGACTCACCACCTAAGGGTAAGTGGTAATCACATTCTCTAATACTACCATCTACGTTCTACCTCTATCTAGTACCTATGAACTAAATAAAGCGTTCCTTGTTACAGATGGTCCTTACATCAATGCACAAATACAGACCGAGAGTACTAATAGTTCGAGCGCGGGACGCTGCCGCGCTGGCCTGGGGCGCGCCTCATGCCGCATTCTCATTCCCGGAGACGGAATTCATAGCTGTCACCGCTTACCAGGTTTGTAAACTATTTTTCTCCTGAAATTTTGAAATTGGAACATATCATAAGCTATATGTGATAAGTCTGTTCATCCTTTTAAAACGTATACGCACTAGTCTAGATATAATCATTGCACAGGTAAATTTATGCATTTGGTGTAAATTAAAAAGAAAATAATTTTATTCGAAATTTAAATATTTTACATATTTTTATATGAAATTTCACTAAAACATCTTTTCACTAAAACACCTACGTATTAAGTACCTACTCAAAATTAATATTTTTATCAAAGTTTTCATATTCGTGAGGCATTATTAATTCGATTAAATCTTGAAAGTAAATATGAATAAAATATAAATAGATATCGTAAGTAATAAAATAATTTTAAAATAAACAAATAGTAGGTAAGTATTTGTTTATACTGCAATTGTCGGTCAGTAGCTACAGATAATTACAGTAGGTAGGTACAATTAAATATGCACTGTTTATTACACCAATATCATACGTTTAAGAAAGCCTGTACACTGAATCAGATATTTTTCTTCAATGAAATCGATATCCAGCATAAAAAGTCCTCGATAGTGTATTGGTACATTTGATACTTCCATATAAAAATATTTCAATACATCACCCAATCAAAAATAACAATTTAAACGATTGCCGACTTCAATTTGTGACTAATATTGTACAGTCAACAGCAACGATCAGTGATACTACTATCATAGACAAAATCATTTATACGTTACCAAGAAAACGTACTACGATTCCGGGAACTTACGGTGATTTCGCACTTATGTCGGTGTGTCCAAATTTTTTCATACCTCCAACTGAGGCGCCAAAGCTTTTACGAACGTGCGGTACGGCCCTTACTTACTCACATTTAGAAAAAGCCCGACAGAGATTGCGCCCGCGCAGGCGTCGGCAGAGGCAGCTCAAGTGGTCATTGTATTAGGGCTCATAACAAAACAAAGGCAACTAATTTCGAGGTTTCTGTCCATTTAACTACATAGTCCCGCATTGTTTGGAATCTTAAACATTAACATTACTACAAAGTGCGAGAATTCATAAATTTGAACAACGGTAATTCTGTATCTAACCGTTTTGTACAGAAATGCTAATTTATTATCTGTAAGTAGATAGAAGTACTTATACGTTTCCTACGATTTACAATTGTATTTCATTAAATATATTTACTTAGTAGGTACAATGAGTCCACAGAGATTTTACCTGATGCGAGAATGCCGAGAATGTATATAGTCTAGAGATCTAAACAACAGCTATCAATTTTGATTATCTGGTTTTGTCTAATTAATTTCATTATACTAAATTATAAAAAAAATAATTGCCTTGTGGGTAGGTACTTGCTATGGCATGCATTAATATTTACTGGGATGTATTTAACTAATATCATTAAGTAACATAACATTTATAAAAGTAATAAATAGGGCCCCCTACTGTTTGTTTAGCGACACCAAAACTTCTAACTTTAGTTTATTTTTTCATTGTTGATCAGCACAGCGTACAGACTTCTTGCATAATCCATCCCTTCGTAATTAGGTCGTATAGTCGGTATCTTTGCTCCTGTGGAGTTTTTCACGTTGACTGCAACGAGGCGCGAAAATGCTCCAGCGTCCATTACAATGACGACATTCGGCACCTTTGTAGGATTATCCGGGAATTGTTCAGCTAACGGGACTAAACACCGGACAATGCCCGGCGGCGTATCATTGCACATTATCCTCGGCCAGGCGACCGCTTGCCGGCTAACCAATTGTTACGAATTATCAACGAATTAGAAAATCTCTTTCATATACACCGACATGTTATCCTAAAGCGTAACTAGGTGGCACGATACTTCAATTATGCACATTATAATGCATACCTCCAAAAAAGGGCCACGAAATTCAATCATGAAAACCGTCATCTGTTATCCTGTCATCTGTGTTTGTAAATCTCCAACCGATAATTTGAGTCAGCACTAGATAAATAAAGCAAATTTGCTCAGACCCTAATTATACAGAATTAAAAAAACTGGCGACAGTCGCCAATATGTGGAACAGTCCCGTAAAAAGTAATAGGACGCAAGTTTCTGGCGTGACGTCATAGGCGACAGGGCGGGCCAGGGGCGGCGCCCGTCACTTCTCAAGCACCCTGCTTGTGTTAACCGATCAACTTAAAAAGTGAATTTTAGCCACGTAACAACAGGCTTTTAGCACTCCTTGCTATCTCAGTAAGCATTTCGGTTATCTAGTGGCGCGGTGAGCAAACGGTACGCGCCGGCGCCGCCTTATCGTGTCATGTAAACAATCATTTACAAGCGACTTCGCATATCGTCACGAGACTATTTGTGGTCAAGAATTTCGCTTGATAACAAGTTAACAACTCAAGATTCGGGAAGAGAAAGCGAGATAGATAATCTCTGTGCACCTTTAAACATTAAGACTACGTAATTAGCTTATTCTGCTCCAAAAACGTCACCGTCACTTAAACAAACATAAGGGGTTCCAATATCAAATTTCGCTATACGGTATGTGCTTAGCACGGTGCGTGCAGTGGCGTCTTCGTCGGCGCCGTGGTTTTGTCACATTTTGCAGTAGAGGCGGGCGACGGTGCGACGGTGTGACGAGCGACGGCGACATACATGCATGCCATGCTAATTGGCCTGTCGCCAAGCCATGCTACGGCACATGTGCGACAATTATCCCTTACAACCTATTAGCAGCGGGGATGTATGCGGAAACGGATGTTTAAATTGCATTCTCGAAATGAGATAAGAACGTATCCGTGGTTACGAAGCGTTTTATGCTATCCTACATTTAATACGGATAGACATCGTCGTTTCTAATCAAACCGGATATAATATTAGATGTATATCTAACGTCAAATTTTTTTGTTCACAGAATGATCGTATCACGAAATTGAAGATCGACAACAATCCGTTCGCCAAAGGGTTCCGCGCTTGTGGGCAGTCTAAATGTAAAAGAAAGAGCACAGAGCCAGGCATGGACAGTACAGAGCAGTCAAACACAGAATCCAGTGAAGCGAAGCGGCCGTGTTCTGATGCCGCGTCTTCCTGCTCAGAGGAAGGGAGCTTACGGTCGTCATCGCCGAGGTCACCGCCGCTAGTCGAGTCGCCCGCACCTCTCGTTGCACCTCCTGAAAATATTACCCCTCCTCCCGGGCCATTGTACCCACCTGAACTGCAATACTTAAGTCCTCTTCATATGCCTATACCATTGGGTCTTTGGCCAAGTAGTGCTATACATAATGGATTCACGTGGGGACCATCTCTACCGGCTCCTCCGCCACGAGTACCGACCCCACCCCCCGCGGCTCCGGCGCCTTGCCGCCGCATCAAGAGTTTCACGATTAGTGCTCTGCTCGGCGAAGGTTGACTTTTTATTAATTTTATTTGTAAGTATTGAAAATGATATTGAGGGACTAAAATTGACTTGCAATATATTAAATACGACAAACTAGTGATATAAGTATTTAAGAGAATATTTTTGTACTGATAATAGATCTGAGTGCATTAGATATATCTCAATGCAGTCAATCTGATGTTCACAGCATGCAGTTGTTCTAACGAGATTAAAAATCATGAAGTAATTTGCGTAAAACAGATTATATAATTGCCTGTTGATAATAATATGTTTTTAATACCAGCAGTTGTTTTGTCCAATTAAGGAGATTTTATCTTCCATTAGTAGGTATAGTGTTTTACAAACAGTGGGTCGCGGGTAAATGTAAAGGACAATTATTGGTCCTATCTAGATAAAAAACTACAATTTGTTACGATTTTAAAATCATTGACGTAGTTTTAGAATACGGCCTTAAGCGATCGCCTGTAGTTAGTTATTAACTTACAAACGGCTCATATATTTAAAAAGTTTGATAAACAATGTCTAAGTACATAACTACCTCGTAACATTACACTATACACATAATTTACGCTATTGTGATAATTTGTGCCTTAACGTTATCTAAAGCAAAGGTAAATATAAATATTATTAAATGTACTTATCTATTACAATGTTTGTATTACATAATATCGTACTACTCTACATAGTTCATAAGTTTATTAAGAAGATCTTTATTTAAATTATGTTCTAGAATATAAATAATATTTTTTAGATCGAAATATTTAAGTTGTATCTGTTAAGATGATCAATAAGCGAAAAACAATTAGATATGTATTTCGATTGTCTATGTCGGGAATAAATAATGTACATAGTATACCAATGTAAATATTGTAAATAGTCTTGTGTTTTATCTGTCAAAGTCAACTTTTATAAAGTAAATATATTATTTTTATTATGAATATAACACTGCTTTTTATTTACACTACATATTTGTTCGTTGTACTCTCACCGATAGAACGTATAAAACAAATATGTATTCATTTACAAAAAACAATTTAAAAAAAAAAGCCTCTCTCTTGTGGAGCTCTTGCCATTTTCTTCCATCAATCTCTTTAGTTGATGATACCACACGACTCCAACTTCTTAAGTATTAATAAATAATAAATTTCTTAAAAAATATTTTATGAAACTGACATGGTACTGGTACTTACCTGATAAAAGTGGTAAGATATATATAATATATAGCATATCTAATATAATACTGGACTAAATAAAAATGGAAAAATTTTTGATATTGCACTCTAAAGCTGAGCTTTTTAGTGGATTTTCCAGAGTTTATAGTTTTTGAGTTAATCCAATTATGTACTAGGTGTGCAGAATGTAGGCACTATGGGTATCACAGATTATTTTGTGACGCTAACATCTGTAATTTCCGTGTCATATCAGACAGTTTACACACCAAGCTGTAAACGGTAGAATTGAGTGAGACAGTAGTACCTTTTATTTTAACGTGTCGAAAATCTACACAAGACCTTCACCCCGGAAGGATGACACCACCCCGCCGGAGGGATGTCTGGAAAATTTGCCCACTAAAAACTACACGATGTACCTGCAAGCGCCTAAGCCCGCCCTGTAGGTGACGTGTTGTAGGGCAGGCCCCATCTCGGTAAAGTTAGGGCTAACTTAACGTAACTTAATTCGCCCTACTTCAAAAAATGTGCAACGCTTCACGATTTTGCATGTCATCCTTGCGCAGGGGCTATCCTAATCTTCTCTGCATCGTTCCAATTTTAGTATATGTACAGCCAAGGCAAGTACTAGATAATCTCGAAACATTGACAAAGATAACTTAGTACACAGTTTGGTTCTGGTAAAATAATACCTCAGTACAGCGCCATCTAGTCCCTATAACAGAAGTTTTGCGTACAAAACCGATATAAATATTCATCATCATGAATATAAACATTAGTACCGTACGAGGTATCGAACTCGCCATCGTCGGAAGTAAAGCTGAGTGCAAAACCGTTCGACCACCCAGGCCTAATAATATATAATAATAATGACCAGATTTTTAACAATCAAAACTAAAGCTAAAGATTTTATTAGGTCGAGCACTCTTATCTTTTAATATCTTTAAGTAAAAAAACTTTTATTTTGCGGTTAAGTAAAGAAAAGTGCAGCAAAGAATGAGCATGAGGTCAGGTCCGTTAACCAGGAACTTATCACGATGGATTCCAGGGGCATCCGCGTGGATCAATTAACAGTCCCATTTCCACCAGCGCTGTATCTAGGCAATAAAGCCAGCTTATGAATAATAGGCCGGGCAAAGCTCGTATCGGGTAGTAGATAAATTGGTATTTATGAGTTATCTTTTACTATGAGAGGATATTTTAGGTATAATATTATTTATAGGCTTGGAGTTTTAGTTAAAATTAAAGAATCTTTTTATAAAATTATTCACATCGATGTGAAGCTGTGCCCACGACTTCGCGCAGCGCACGCAACGGAAGCCCTCAATATTAACATTTTTCACTGATGCTTCGCTTCTATTGGTCTTAGCGTAATCTTATATAGCTTAAAGCTTTCCTCAACAAATACAACACAAATGGAATTTTTCAATTCGAACCACTAATATATATAGTTACAAACGGATTGCAAAGAAAACCTGATAAGATATTTGCAGTTTTGTGCAAGTTACTATCGACTACATCGTACAAAATGATTTTAATGTGCTTTTCAAACAAATAGGGTTAATAATTCGGTCACATAGTGAAAGAAAAATTGTATGACTTATAAATAATTATAATTGAAAAAGTTCACACAAATTGCCTACATAAGCAAAATAAATATTAACTAAGAAATTGGACTTTTTGTGAAGCGTAAAACTTGAGGCACAATGCCTACTTATAGTACAGTAATCCATAATATATATTATTTATTACTTTGCACATGAAGTCAGTATTGCCTGTTGATATTCTGTAGCAGTAAATGTTACCATAAAATACATATATTGAAGACTAATGTTTGAATGGGGTATGCCAGAATAAAAAATAGTTGTTCTTTTACATTTGAAACCTTAATAAACATAAAACAATACTTCTTTCTTATAAATTTAAAAATCTATGTGTATTGCTTTTCTATCATTTTCTTTTTATTTTACATTTTTCTTTTGTTCAATTATATTAATATATTATAGTATTATAACTAGTTATAATATAAACAACAAGCTCCATTTATACATACACATTTAATTATATTAAAATGAGGAAATAGATCACTAATATTCATCTGTTATACATAAAATCTTCATTACATTATTCGCTAATTGCTTATCCAGCTACAAGATTTTGAAGTTCAGAACTCAATTCATTGGTATCAATGGGGATTTTTGTATTACCAGAGTTGGGTGCACTGGATTCTCTATTGCATGCTTTCTTATGAACAAACCAATGGAGCCTCTGGCATTCCCTGTCGCAGTACTGCACAGACTTGCATTTAGAGCATTTCTTAGCCGGCTTCTCCTCTCCACAAGTACTGCAATAAGGAATCGCATCAACAAAACCACGCTGTCCATTTATAGTGCAGTTTATAACAGATAAAGCAGGCGGAGGATTTTTACTAGTCAATGATGATACCATTTGGTGGAATGTTGTGCACTCCCTGTACGGAAATTCCCTTACGCAATCCTTCAGGAATGTATCCATCAAATCTAATGAGTAACCATCTTTGCCTGGTTTTAACAGTTTTTTCGAAAATATTTCAACAATATCATGTTTCTTCTCTTCCTTTTCCGAGCTAGGTTTCTGTTTATCTCTTATATTATTAATTTCTCTAACAATATAGGAGAGGTAGTGATATTTAAAAGCCATGACCTCATTGGTTTCACTGCCTCTTGTCATTTCTCTCTTGCATAGCATCTCAAGCACTTTGCTTACTGCATCAGCATTTTCTAGCAAGCTGGGTGTGTGCTGCAAGTTGAGGCCTAATCGAATAGGATGAATGTTGACACCCAATACCAGCTTGTGGAGAGGATCAACTAATATTGAAGGCAAATATGGTTCAGTTTGTTGCCCTTGTGGCACAGAGTAATAAGCAATTTCACTGCGAGGTATGAAGTTATTAATAGTAGCAACAGTATGATGATTTCCAACAAAAGCAGCCATTTGTGAGGCTGTGCGTCCCACAGAGTTGGTAGTTGTTGGCTGGGCACCAGCATCCAGCAACAGTTTACAAACTTCAGAACTACCTGATAGTGCACCAAAATGAAGTGCCGTGTAGTTGTACTCATGTTTACCAGATATTACATTAGCACCCTGAAATGAAAGCAAAAAGAATGCATTTAAATTTTGTGAAATAAAAGTGTTATAAATAATAACTACTTAAATCATACTTTATAAACAAAAATAATACATTTCAACATAGATTGCCTTCAACTAAGATAAATATAATTCTTATCAAGATGTAACTTTAAAATTTTAATCTTTGCTGTTTTATAAATAAAGGTTAAATATAATAAAGTATAGTTTAAATATTGCTACCATCAAACTAATGTTACCCTAGATGGTGTAGTGGTGGTAAAAATTGGTATTTACATATAATATTACACAATTGTGCATCACAGTATGTTTTTAAGGCATAGTAGTTAACACATTGTTTTGTGGTGAAAGCTAACCCTCATTATCAGTCTTAAGAATGAAGTTATTTCAAAGCATAATTAATGGTACTATGGGTAACATGTTTCAACAAACTATAATTTTCACAACTATACCACTAGAACGACTCCGAAAACAGAAAGATAACAAAATCTAATTCAAAGATAATGTAACCATAAATAATAATATAATAAATGTACTTTCGCTGTGTGAAAGTTATCTATAATTGTTTCGCAAACACTTACCCTATCAAGTAACAATTGCACCATGTCCTTGTTACCCTTATATGCTGCATGTTGAAGAGCAGTCATACCATTTTCGTCGAAGAAATCGACGCCACCCTTGTGCTGAGCTAAAATATTTTTAAATTCGGACAAATCATTTTGGCCGATTGCGTCAAAGATAGTTTTTTCCGCACTAGAATTCACTTCGTTTTTAGATTCCATAGCGATTTTAGACTTTACAATAAATAATAGGTTGAAAGGATTCTAATGGAAAAGAAAAGTAGAAACGAAAGACAATGTCAATAATCCTCTGAAAACACAGGTTTTCGCCGATTACCTGTCTATGCAAGTGTCAAATTTGACAATTTGTCATATAGAATGAAAGCTGTCAATGTCAATATAATTTTCATTGTCAGGAGACAGTCTACGATATGGTTATTTATTGCATTGATGTAATTGGAATTTCATCTGGGTATCTATAACCAATTTGATCTTTATATACCATCGCTGAAAGTTATTTTTTACTTATTTTCAAATGCGAAAAACGAAATCCAGAAAGAGACCTCTTTCTTAAACATTGTGTCCTTGTTGCATATTTTACCGGTAACTAAATAAAATTGCCGTCGTTGATATAAATTCGGTTTTGATAAGTTCTTACCCGCTATGGAAATTTTAATTCGGGAAATCTTTGTTTTTATTCAATTTAAATTAGGCTATCGCCGCCTTTTGTAAAGTAATTAGAATGTCAAATAACCGACGGCCCACCAGAAATTAAGAGGCTACCCATCGTATTTATAAGTATTTAAATATCGCCATGGACATTGCGTTAATTTATGGCACCCATGATACTTGCGTTGCCATTCGGAGACAGAGTATTAAATTGTTATAAGCCTCATATCCTATAAGTTCACAACCTAGTCTAATTTAAAGTAATTAATTAATTTTATTAACTTTTTTACTTTAATTAAATTAAATAATTTAAATTAAAAATATATCAATAACGCTATTTTTTTTTTCGAGTGATGACTCCACGGAAAGTCAGCACTGCAGTAATACGCTGCGGCACCAGCTGAATGAAGGCCCTTTCAGCTCATAGCGCGTTATTAACTTTTAAGTTATTTTATATCTTCACTCTGTATTATGCTATGCTGAATATTTTTATTATTATTATTATTATTATTAATCTGACCCTACAATTAAACAGCTTAGACCGCATCATCACTTAACATGTGGCATCCGCCGGCGACTTTTTACAAAGTTTACCTAAGCCTTCTACCCTTACAGTCCACCGTACCCTTTGCATTCTTCGCCATGGAATAAATTAACTTATTAAAAAACTACATCTTTCCAGTTGGCCTTAGAAGGTGAACGCGAAAGAGAGATATTGAGAATTGTTAGACGCCTACTTGGAATCTTATGTAGACAGTCGTGCCTGCTTGTATATAGAGTATATACAGATATTTACTGAGCAAAGCCTATTACTCACTAAACGATTACTTGAATGTGCGTCCATGGCAATAGTTGTTCATGCACGGGATTTTCATTTAATGATAGACATAGACACCTAGAAAAAAGTAATTCAATTGAGTTTCTTGCCAGGTCTTCTCAATTGGATCTATATACCGAACTGGACGGTAGAGAAAAAAAATAAAATAATGTAAAAACTTGACGTTCATAAGCGGCTAAAATGTCCCACATGAATAAATAATTTTTGAATTTGAATTTGAATTTGATAGGAGTGGGCCTTCAACCGCTCCTTTAGTCCATCAGCGGGTTTGGAGTGCCCTCTGCACTCGCTCCCTCTTTCGTCAAATGCAACGTGAAAGCCAGCTACGGCCAACATCATTACAACAGTTTGTAAAAAAGGCTTTAAATACTTATCTTCAATGTATCTTACATTCTGTTTTAAGAATGTAGATTATACCTAGTACGTAAACTACAAAAAGTAGTACTAGTACTACGTTACATATATTACTACAGATAACATAATATTACATACTGTTACCTAGTACCTAAACACTAAAAAGTAAATCTTAACATTTCAATTATAATTTAAATATCGAACCTAAATGCCTAATTACCGATGTCGATTTTAAATGTTCAGTATTGTTCGGAAATGGCTGTTTTGCATGGGTCCCACCCTCTTTAGTCTCTCCTCATATTTTAGATTTATTTTACTACTTCTCATATTTATTTGTATTTGGGATTTTCCTTCTCTTCATAACTAATGCTAATGGTAGTAGTAAGTAGTTACCTATGTCTGTTAACTCTGAGAAGACATAATTTTTTGGACGTCCCAAAAACTAATAATTAATACAAGGTATGTAGGTATACCTACCCGCCAACTTCGGTAACTTAATAAAGATACAGAAATAAAACTCATTGTTACAGTAAGTATAAATAAATTTATTCTAATAATAATCAATAGTCATAATGGCTGGTATGACTAATGATTGTAAATGTATATCAACAACTATTACAGAATACTAATAAGTGATTTACTTGTCACATCAAAATCTAACACCGAATATTTGAAGCATTGAGAAAATGGTACCCTAAGGTACCCTACGAAACGTTAATATCTATGAGATTAATATTGATAAGTTTAATATTTTTAAAAGGGTAAATGCATACAAGCGTTTCAATAGCATAATCATGAAGCCTAGTCTACAATAAGCAAAGAATAAAGTAGAGTGTAACATGTGTAGAGTAGGTACAGTGCACACGGCCTAATCATTGGAAGAACGTTTGATAAATAACAATTGTAATATCAATACTATTTAGAACAATATACAATTCATCAGTCCGCATTGCCCAGGACGGAGTGACGAATAGTAGATTTCAAAAAATACATAAATAGTAAAAAAATGGAGCACCTATTAAATATGAGCACAACATCGAGATAAGAGTTGAGTAAACATTTAATATGTGAATCTTAATATTACACAACAATGGTGATACTCAAGCATACGGCCCGCCTGATGGTAAAAGACCATTGCGCCCATGTTCTATTATAATGCCAAAGGCATTAGTGACGCGTTGCCAACTCTCGTGACATAAACATGTCATAATGATTTATTTCAATAATTGATCTCACCTCACAAACCCTTACAATAATGTAAATTTGTTAAGTATGTTAGAATAGAAGAGAAATCTTAAGGTAGATAAATTACTAGCTACGAAAAGATGCAGTTAAGCAATACATATACGTTAAAGTTTAAACAGTATGTGGGTATATGAACATTATTATAAGTAATAGATAATATACGTAATATTGCATAATATTTAATTATAATAACAATTATCCACTACCATTTTCTATTATCTACACAGCATTTCATTTTTTCTTATAATTATTTGATTAATGTGTATTTCTAACAAGTTACCTATTCTATTATCTACTAATCTAATGTTTTTTTATTTCATTTTTTCTACAAAGCTACGGTAACTTCATTGCTAACAAAGAACTTTTTAGTAGTTCTTATTGATAACTACCAAACATTTCTAATCTATAAAGAATACAATAATAAGATTATATAGTTATATACTATAGCGCAAATTTGCTTCTATTTTATTAATGCTACGATACACGTTCTTGAAATATACAATCTTCTATTATATTTAAAATAAACAATAACCAAAATGGCGGGAGATCAAAAAGGTTTATAAAGTTTCCACCGAACAGGTACGGTCGGAAAAACATATCTAAATAAATGTAAAGCTACATGTGTTGCACACATTACAACATGAAATAATATAAAGTGCGGTGGATATTCAAATAATGTAATTGTTCCAGTTTCAACCTCATTGCTTATTATGAATAATATCTAGATACACAGAGAATCTAACTCTAAACACATCGACGGTTTGCTGAATTATATTCAAGTCATATAATACCTACATAAAGAAAACAATGTCAAATAGTAGACATTTATATAATACTTATAGCATAACTCTGCATAATAAAGTCAGGGTACATATTTTTTAAATATCTACATACTTAGGTACTTGACCCCATTACATGAGCTGTTGTTTTATACATACAAACAGCCAGTATTTAATCAATTCTAACTACCCCTTCAATCCATTATTTAAATGTTTTAAATTCCTACATATAAATATTGATGAATATAATATTAAAACCAAGCTAAGTATCACCGCGTAACAATTCCATCGTTAATCAAATATCGAATAGATATATCATATCATAGTTGTAATCATAGAGTACTATGTTTGTCATAGACAATGAAATATGTTTAGCGGGAATAAAAGAGAGTTGTTATACTATTACAAAATCTCTCTCTTTCTTTCTTTTCTTACACCTTATATCCAAGAGCTCACTAACGTTTCCCACATTCATAGACCACAGATTACAATCTACATTAGTAATCCATGATTTAAACCATATCCCTGCTTAGTAACTGCTTTTCATGCATTTACTTATATCCAATGTTATGTTATTACAATGAAACTACAATTTACCAATTTATTGGTAAACAATATCCTCTACAGGTTAAACATATTATATATAGGTATAGACGGTTTATTAATATTATTAAAATAAATAACAAAGCCTTAACTTAAATTCAAGATTAGCACAAATTAACTTAAAAATACATTTACGTACAAGAGTAAATTCTTGCCTTTCTACGATACTAAGAAACTTATGTTTCTACAATAAAATCAACGTGACATTTCCACTTGGGAGTGTTGCCATTCTAGATGGTTCTAGACATAGTAGACGTCGAAGGAGAGTTGTGCTCAGACGAGCGCGGCGGAAGAGGAGAGTGGCGGTCCGGTGGGAGTGGTAAGAGTTGGAGTGGTGGAAGAAGGTGGTTGGGGAGAAGTGGGAGTGTGACATGCTGATGCCAACCGTACGCCACCACTTTCTGACACTATCACGCCGTTGTGGACTGCGCCATTGTTCTCTGTGTCCGCGTACGGAGTTGTAAGGATCCGCAGCCGCTATTAGAACAAATTATATATAATAAATAAATGAAAAATATAATCATAGGCAACATATACAGCGCTGCTTTATTCCAAACTAAGTACAACTTCATAAACAAAACTAAACATACTTAAATACATTATGTTTTGAAGATATGTACCCATATAGATTCATGTCCACACTACAAACAGGGACAAAAATGATTGTAGGGTTGTCTATTTAGATTGTCTATTCTTCGGGGATAGAAATAGCAGCTATTTGATGATAAAACTACATCTTTCTATTGGCGAAAATATTCCAAGTGCTTCTCTATCGAATTGGAGTATAAGGAAAAAATATTAATACAAAAAAAATACGTTCATAAACGGCCATAATGTCCTACATGAATAAATGATTTTTTATTTAATAAGAAATGTAATATCAAAATACACAAAACAGATATTAAACGTACCTCAAAGAAGGTTCCTTTTGTGGTAATAATCTTGTACAGAGCGACAGTTGGTATACACATAACGCTGGATCCAGCGATGGTCCAACCCAATGCGTTCGCCCAGCCCGGGTACACATACCCTTCGTACTGCAGAGGTTCATAGTCGAGGAGTCCGTACGCGGTTATGAATAACAAGAAGAGTGGAGCCGCAAACCGCCAGCACACCCGCCAGTACAGTCCGGGACGGAAGCCGATCATGTCGCGAATGTCTTCGCAAAACCTTTCTGTACCTGTATATATGAATTTGGTGGTAAAATAAAAATTAAGTCTAGTAAAATAATGAGTAAGTGTGGTATACGTCATAAAGCCTAAAAAACTAGCAAAATCTGTGAAAATGACGCGAATAGTAATAATAACCCTGGATAATTAACACAGCGTCATCTAGTCCCACGGTACTCAGAGCTTGTGTTAGGTTAGGTTAGCTACTAGACAACTGATATAAATACTTACATATGCATTTTTTGTAAATAATAATAATCGTCTTTAGTTACCTCAAATAATAATAAACAATTACAATTGCTGCTTATAATAACATTTAGAAGTAGTAATCAAGGCAAAACGGTCTCTAAAGGCATGACACAATGAGTCCACTCTCTCTGCTATTATGTTATAGTCTTTATTATTAAATTAATATAATAAATAATCGACGACGACTCTAGCATGTAAGTTCTAAACTGTCCTCTCCTAATAAAGTAAACATTAGAATTGTCAATAACTTAACAAAATACATACATAAATACATAGAATACAGCCAGGTAGAGAATCAATCATACTTATGAATATAAATACTTGCACCGTGCGAGGAATCGAACCCGCGACCATCGGACGTAAATCGATGTGCTAAACCGCTAAACTACCGCCAGATGTGGATAAACCGCTAGATATGTATATAATGAGAAGATTATACTCGTACACTGTCCGAAGTACATAAAATAGGCTATTAAAATTTCCTTCTAACGTATTTACCATAAATCCAAGACACAGCAATAGCCTCGAAGAACACAGCCACTAAGATGGAGTAACCCGCGGCGTATCGATCCAGAAGTTGGAAGAAGTAGAAGCCGCCTCTAGTACAGGATGCGAGTCCCACGAAGAAGTACAATGTGAACAGACACGCCACAAACAGCTCTCTGTGTCGACCGATCGGAGGAAACTCGTCGCTTAATGCCGTTATTATCGCTTCAGAACCGCCGAACTGGAAACGAAAAAAATAATATATAACTACTAGCTGACCCGGAAAACGTCGTTTTGCCATATAAACTAATGTACTAATATCACCATTATATAAATAGAGGTTGATGATAGAAGGTTGAAAATTTAGGGGCATATACTTGTTAATGCTGAATCAAAATTGAAAATATAAAAAAGTTGTCTCAAAATAAAAAATAATTATTTGTGGTGGACTACCCTTATCACTTAGGTGTATGAAAAATAATTTACTTTCTATTCTCAGACTTATTGAATATACACATAAGAAGTTTGGGTCTAGCCGTTTCGAAGTTTCGTTTTCAATTTACAGAGCTAGTGCTAAATCAGCTAGTATCAGCGGGTGTATTATGAACTCTTATTCCCATTCAGTTCACGGCTTAAACTGAACTGCCTGGAAACTGACTGGATTTTAAAGAGTTCATAATACGCCCCCAGGTCAGATTTAATTCTCATTATTACTTTCCTATTTTGCGTTCTCTCAAACATTGCGTCATAAAAATGTTTATAAAAAACTTACAGAACTATCAAGTCCAAGTGTTAATAACATCATGAAGAAGATCAAAGCCCAGAAGGTAGACCCGGGCATGGTTGCTATAGCCGCCGGGTAAACCACAAATACCAATCCGGGGCCTTCAGTCGCCACGTCTTGAACATCTCTTCCGGAAGCCTTCGCCATATAACCGAGTACACTAAAGATTACGAAGCCGGCCACAAACGAAGTACCCGAGTTGATCACACTGGTGAGGAGCGCATCTCTGTAAAAAAATAATTGCGTGAACATTTCTGTACTTTATTATATAGTATTTATTCTCAGCTTCGTACGCGTGGATTTAAACTTTTTTTTATTAAAATTTACAATATTTCTAAAATATAAGTTGTTAATTTACTTCTTATAACATTAGCTACCTGCGAGTGAAAGTACCGTCAAAATCGATTCAGCCGTCAAACAGACAGAGAGACGGATATTTGTTTTAGGTGAGTACAGTATTTATTTAAAAGTTGACAAACCGTCACTATTTTATTTACTTGTACACTAGCTGACCCGTGCAGCTTCGTCTCCGTCACATTTTCACCGTTTTTTGTAACATTTCTCTTTTGTTTGATTTCTCATTATATATGAGAAGTGTCTGTTTGTAATTTCATATATGTGTGTAAAGTTTTAGTTGTTTAATATGTTTCTCTGGATTGAATAAGGTACGCCTATACAAACCGATACATATTTATTCTATTATATTTATTAGATATATATCACGGTAAATTCCTACAGATACTATTAAAAATAGCAAGAACTAAACATCTCCTTTTTTTAATCAGTTAAAATAACCGCATGTATAATGTAAAGTTGGGTACGTACTTGTATACGTTGTTATGGTATTTATTATACGATGCATATGCAAGAAGCACGCCAAATCCGGGCCCCAGTGAGAAGAACACTTGTGTCGCCGCATCCACCCACACCTGAAAGGCATACCTCATAATGACTGATATCGCGTTGTATCTAAATTTCTTAAATTTGGTGTTATTTTTCAGAAATCCATTTCCCTATTTAATGGATTTATATTATTTTATTTAATTCCACTACCATTAGAATCAGACCACAATAATTCAATGCGGAAACTAAAACATTTTTACTGAAACGAACCTTCTCTATTAGTGATCAAAGAGACTTTCGAATTTGCCTCACGGCGAACACCTTCTTATTTTCTCATTCACACACACTTCATTATTGGTTGTATTTTTTATTACCTGAGGTTGCGTTATTGCCTCGAAATTTGGACTCAGATAATACTGAATGCCGTTAGCGGAGCCCGGGAGAGTAATACCACGAACGAAAAGTATCAGAAGAACGGCGTAGGGAAACAGAGCTGTAAACCACACCACCTGAGAAAACAATTTAAAGAAAATGTAAAATAAATATTTTTTGTGTTTTTGTGTGTGTAATATCAAAAGTTAAAAATTAAAAATTTGTATGATAAAATTGTCATTATATAATAATAATAATCTTGGACGTCTAGTCCCAAGCTGTTATAAATATTGTAAATACAACACCACATAAAACACCCAGACGGATACAAATAATCACACATGAACACAATTTTTTGTATCGTGTGAGGAATCGAACCCGCGACCTTTGGAAGTAAAGAGGTGTGCTAAACCGCTAGACCACCGAGGCTGTCGAAATATAAGTATGTTACAGTCAGGTAAATAATATAAGCAAATCAATTTTTTTTAAATTGGAACGGCGTACAATCCTCTGACACTCCTCATGGTAAATAGCAACCGTGATGACGTGATATCCGGCATGCCGTTGGAACTCAGTGGAGACGTCAGGTTGTTTCCCATTCGATTAAAAAAATGTAGTTCTGTCCGTGTGTTGATGCTTTAGAAGGAAAAAAGATTTTATATTTTTTCGTTTTACTTTGCCAGAGGTACTGATCCCTTTCCAGAGCGAGAAGTAGCAGATAATGTAGACTGCGAGCAGACATAGGGCCATGTCCCATTTTATAGCCCCCAAGTCGTGCAGACCTTCGCTCCCTTGAAGTTCCAATATTGCACGGCTGCAAGTATAGAGAATACCCACTTATCCATCTAATATAAAAATTATGTTTTAACTGATGACTGAAAGTTTTCCGTTTCGTGATCACAGATCCAAAATTTATTAATTAAGATAATAAAAGTTTATCAGATTAAATTTAAAAATATGATTAAAAAAAATTTTCGTGTTATCTTGAGGAAAGTAGATTAGCATTATGAACATTATAAAAAAAAAAAATTATATATGTTTGGGAGGTATATTTGTTGATACAGTACATGTCTCTTTAAATATATATTCGTTAGTTACTTTTATAAGAACTGCGTATAATATAATACTAGTACCAATCAGGGCTACGCACGAATTACAATTCTTTGAATTTCACGACCTTCCTGTAGGTGTAATATGCATGCATTATAAACATTACATATAACCATTCTATTGAGAATCCTTCGTTGCTGAAACGGTAAAATCCATTGCGTATTTTATATAATCTAGAGGACGCAGAGGACAGCGGCGCGGGGGCGACTTGCTATGTATCTATACTATCTAAAGATTTAACACTCATTTTTTATATAAAATAACTAACTTAAAATATTCGGAAGCAGCGGAAGTAAATGGTGTAGTTTGTGCAGGTCCGATGGTCGCAGAGGAGATGTTATTGCGTGTACGAGTTTTGTTCACAGCTGTAGTATTCCATATAGCTTCAAACTGTAATAAATATTAAGAATACTTTATAAAAAAATCACAATTGTAATATATAAAAAACTAGATGTATATATCTATAGCGCGATGTTGAGTTAAGTTGTTCTGGAATTTGATAATTTGTATACCATCATTTGTATTACCAGTATGCATTAAATAATAACATTCATCCAAATTTACATAAAATTTTATATTTGCAAGATTGTAACCTACTTACAACTAAGTTCTTAGGAATGGTTCGTATGAGAGGTAAAACGGACATCACCGGATGACACGAAGTCCGCGGAGTAAATATGCAACGGTTACCACTTACCAGCAGGTGGGCCGTCAGCATGGTAACAATCTCAATTTTAAAAATGAAAATCAATATGAAATAGAGGCTTTTTATTTACTGAAGTATGTTTTCTTCCGTATTCACATTGTAGAAAGAAATAAAGTGCAACAAATGGGATGCTATGCAAGAAAATGATTACCCCATCTCAATATATCCATAACCAATCGAGATTATGTAACAATAGTATAATTTAATCTGACCGGTCGGCAAGAGGGGGTGTTCCATTCATTGTCGCAGCTGGTCCACGGCAACATGGTGGTGAAGGAAGCGAAGAAGAAACGAAGAGCCCAAGCGATGATCACGTTGTAGTAGAAATCCACGTAGAAAGCTATCAAAACCACCGCGTATCCGATCCCTGTACAAAATTAGTACTATTTTTTATGTTTCTTTACGATATTTTATAGGGTGCCAGTATTATTATTCGTATAATAATATGTAATATCTTCACGACTATTATCACATGTAGACTAGTCAGAGCTACTAGAGACGTCGTAGTGTCTGCGACATTTAACGTGTCTTTATTTGGTTTATCAGTGTTTCATCTAAGTCAAGTCAGAAATATAAAGATATATTAGATATTTTTTTAATGTCAATCTAAAATCACTAGGTTTAGAGTTTAAGTCAGTATAGAAAGCCACTTGGCCACGATAAATAAAATTGAAGTATCTCTTTGTAATTTCAAATTAACAGCTTGTCACTAAATGCTAAAGTATATATTTTTTCTTGATAACCTCTGAAAAGGCTGACGATTTTGACGAAACTCTCACTCATAGACAGCTAATGTTACAAGAAGTAACTTAGACTTCTTTTATTTTAGAAATATTATTTATTTTAATAAAAAAAAAAAGATAAGTTACAGATTTTTGTTTAAAACTAATTTTATTTCTATTCTATAATTATCTATTTAACATTTTATTTGTGTGTGAGACAACCAACTACTTATACATTAAAGAATAGAATAGAAAATCATTTATTCAAATAAACTTACATTGAAGCACTTTTGAATAGTCATTACATTTTTTTAATCTACCGCTCATTCGGAAAGCTATCTTGCGTGTTGCTCTTTTAAATAATTTTATTATTACTTTACATTTTAAAGTTTAAGTGTGTGAATACAAATCACTTAAAACCACACAAAACATTAAAAAAAAAATGGCAAGTATTATTTAAATCAGAATTAGGATTTTTATTCTGCTTTATTAATAACAAAAAGCTAATTGTGTGAGAAGGGGTGTGACGAAAGTGAACGACACCCCTAATAAAGGAATTACGTTATTGCTACTAAAAGAGCCTTCTACATTGATTCGAAAGTGCGAAACCGAACTACGTTTCCATCAAGAATACGTCCATCGAGTTTCTATAGCATCTTTCCAGTCCATTACCAATTTTATTTCTCTTCAAAAATCATATCGTCGTCGGCACTCAGCGGGGCGACGTGACAATCGGGTGAAATGAAATCAGTAGCATAAGCCGGCCTCGCAAATCTGCCGGGTCTTTTGAGGGCCGTCCGTATGGGACGAGCACTTAAGGGGAGCCGTGGAAATGGTGTCAATTATGGATGTTAAGTGCGAGGGCGCGACTCTCGCGGCTTCACTCGTATCCTTACGTTTCGGTCGCATCTTGAGGATATAGGTGTAATGAAGTTTGTCACTGCATCGAATATCCTAATGTAACGTACCTGGTGTATTTGAGATCTACGTCACGCTATTTAAAGAAGCTTTATCAATAGTCGTGTTATTAAAGATAACATTTTGGACTACATGAAGTTAATGGAATCGGAATTCATTGGAATGGGAATTAAATTCTACAATATGCTACCGAAAGATTTTTAATAAATTCGAAATATTTATTATAAAATACATATTGAACAAAACCTATTACTCTGTAGATAATCATAAAATGACCTTGTACTCGTATGTCGTTAATTGTTCAGAAGAGGCATTTTCTATAATTTGAATATAATATAAAAATGTCCACTTATTATGTTATATTTAAATGCTATATTATTCTATATAAATATCGATACACTTTTAAAAATAATTAATAAGAATAAAGTGTATTAGCTGAGTTTCTTACTTAGTTATTCAAAACTAAAGCAGCAGGGCGTACTGGACGGTAAGGACAGTGATAAAAAATATAATATTTATAAGTGTTCTATATTAATCATTTATTTTTAACTGACTATGTTACTTTTAATGAGATAATAATAAAAATAGCATTCTATAAAGAGTAAAGTATTTGTATTATGAAATTTTATAGTAAGTAGATAATGCTATCATCAAGCTTTACCTCATTAAAATAATAAACCAAAAATGTATATTACCATTATATTTTTATATTAATATTACAGGTTTGTAATACGATAATAAAACATATAATAGAGTAATGTTGTACACCAGATATATTTAACTATAGTGCGCGGAATATTCATTTTGACAAATATATAAATTGATAAAAAGAAACAGAACAATGTAGATGTTTAATGGATTATTATATTTTTAAGGTACATTAAAAGGCTATTCGCAATCCGCAATCAACAATGCCGGTTACATAAAACTAATGTTTTTTTAAATCTAAAAACGAATAAATGTGAAGCGTCTCCATTTATCGGCTTGTCATTTATCTGTACTTTAAAATATCTGGACTGAACATTATAAAAACTCACAGTGAATTAAATTAAACCCGAAAAATTTTAACATAAGGTAGGTACAGCTTTAAAAAGCAGCTTTTTTTTATCTTAAAATCATTTATTGTCAGATTATTAATGTAATGAATCGCGTCTTAACACGAATAATTATACGACAAATAAATTATCATCGTTATAAAAAATTTACTATTTGACACGTCTGGTAAATAATATATACGAGTGTACACGTACCTATTATACGTTTTATACGTATCCCCTTCCCCTTGAATCACTTTATCTATAGCTAAAACCGCATTAATTTTCATTAATCCGTTGCGTAGTTTAAAAGATCTAGGCGAACAGATAGCAGAAGCAACTTCATTTTATACAAGAATTTGGATAATCCATGTACTAAATTTAATTGTAGTTCATTCACGTGTGTTTCTATAAAAAAACACACCAACTTTCATATTTATAACAAATTTCATCATTAAATATTGGTATTAAACCATTTCATAATAATATACGTATCTTTATTGAAATGTAGCAATAAAGCTTAACTTGGAAACCACTCCGGCGGGTAGTTCCACGTCTGCAATAACTGTCTGCGCCAAAGAGCAGGCAATAAGTCAAGATCTGAGACGGAACAACGCGATTCCATTTCGCTACTAGAGCTTCGAGTACGTGACTTTACAATCGGTAATACCGGTAATACCATAATCCACTCTGAAATGTTAGTGCTTTAACATTTCAAATTGAGAACACTTAAAATGAAGTGATTTTTTGCTCTAATTCATATCTAATGTATGAATGTTGAACAAAAAGCGAATGAATGTGGTGTAGCTTGTGACATTATTTCATATACGATCTTAAAATTAGATCTTTGGATTATAAATATATTTCAAATAAATTTAATGAACCGATATAGGTACTTTCGAATGTTTATCACGAATTCAAATATCTCTAATATATATATTTAACTTATAATTATTTTTTTATATTAAAATATATAAAGAAAGAATCAATCAAGAACCAAAGATTTATTAGAAATCAATCATAAAATTGAAACTCGATTAAGATTTCTGTACTCCTACGATTGCTTGGTTTAGGTTACAGTCATCATCAATTGATGTTTTTACGTTATAACATAACATACACATAATTGATTTTCTTATACTTTATTAGATACGTCTTATATAATTATAAATTTCAAGTAACCCCCAGATAAAAAAACTGAAATTGTATATTATAGCTAGAAAGCATTAACTTTCAAAGATAAGAACGAAAATATATAATCAATTTGGTACGAAATACCAAATTGATTACGTGACACAGACTACTATATACTATATAGTTCGGAATGAAACTATGAAATATAAATAGAAAATGAGTAATGTTTGTAATATATGCATAAACCAAAGTGTGTGTGTGTGTGTTTGGGAATGGGTGTTTGTGTGTGTCAAAGCACCCACCAAATAGGTCAGTATCTATGCTTACCTTTGAACAGCGGTACAAGTCTGCCCCAGCAAGTGATGGCACCCTTCCGATGGTACTGTCCCAACGCCAGCTCCATGTAGAACAGTGGGATCCCTCCCACCACCAACATGATGCAGTACGGCACCAGGAAAGCGCCTGTACATCACGGTAGGTACATTATGTTATAATTATTGTCTACTAATCATATAAATAACGTATATTGAACACAAGAGTTTAAAAACTATATTAGGTATAAGTATTAACAATGTGTTTATGGATGACGAAACCCATCGCGAGTATGATTTTTTTATTTAAATGGAATGATATCTATGATATCTATGGCTGACGGCCCACTTTATGGTAAGTGGTAACCGTCGCCTATATACATGAACAGCATTACGGACATCACGTTATCACTCATGCCTATAGAATAATCTATACATATAAATAAAATTGGAGTGTCTATAGGAGATGAATATAAATACGGTACATACACCAAAATAACATTTTTTGTCTGTCTGTCTGTCTGTGTGTTCCGGCTAATCTCTGATGAAATGGCTGGATCGAATTTGACGGGACTTTTTTTGGCAGATAGCTGATGTAATATGTAAAATAGGCGCGTCTGAAGTCGCGCGAACAGCTAGTCTTCAATAAAATGCCTGTAATAACTGCAGTAGCCCTTCAAGCACAACACAGCTTACAAAGCAACGTGCATGTCGGCTGAAATAGGTAAGTATGCAGATATAACCACGCGTCTGATTTATCCGAATTATTCGTAGCAATAATGAAGTACTAACAAGAAGTAAGATAATAATTTATGTTGCTCCTAAATATTTATTAAATCTGTTGTTATTAAGTAGTATTAGTGTATAAAAATATTTCTACATATAATAATTCAAATAAAATAAGAACGTATACATTGGCTCTATCTATAAATTGTGACAGTATTGGCTTATAACGTACATAGGTGTAACGTCTGTCTGTTAAAAAAGAATAAATTAAATTTGCAAAGATTTACACCATGTATGACAAACATTTAAAACATACAGTAGAATTGAGAAGCTTCTCCCGTTGAAAGTCAATTTCAACTGAAAGGATCATTTAATAAATACCCGCAGTCGATAACAATATTACTTAAAAAGCAATTTTTTCAGTTCACTTCTTCCAAAGAGCATGGCAATTTAAGATCGCGGCGGCGGTACGGGCGCGTCGCATAGCAATAATTCCATATTGGCACGGTGCCCGGGGAGAGCAACGCAAATTGTGCCTTAATTGGCCTTTTAAGACGCCTGCATTCACCCACCATTCGCTTTTATGAAATTCAACTGAATACGGCATTGTTTTATCTAGAAACTTACTTAATATAATTGATAGGTAGGTATTTACACTTGGGTATTTTTACTATTACTTATTGACTCATACTTGAATACCATTATTGAAAAGTAACAATATTATAAATTTTTGGGTATTCTGATTACAAAACAAGTGTTTTATTGAATTTAATAGTGTTTAAATTATATTTTTAAATGTATCGATAATAAAAAGATATTGTGTTCATATTAATAAAATATAAACTGCTTCTTAGATAATTAATAGTTTATAAGTTGTGTACTAACATAATATGGAGTATCTGAATGAAATAGATAAATGTTAATCTGCAATTCATGCAATTCACAACAAAGCTGTATTGCAGTTTCATAATTAAAATTATTAATTAATAACGGAAAAAAGAATCGGTAACATTCTCAGTAAAAATAGGAGAAACAGATGTATCCCCTAATTTTCATCGACTTTCTATGTCGGTTAAATATAAAAACTTAGTATTTTTTTACCACCAACCTTTAATTACTAAAATTTAAAATTATGGTTTTTATTTTTAAAAAATAAACTGTACCCAATACACATCAACCTATTTATTGTTACAAATGCATGGAATTCTTAGTACCTATTAACAGTCGCAATTGTTTAACGAGAGACATCCGTTGATAACATTAATTCTGTAAATAGATAACTACCACCTACTAAGACGTAATATAAGAACAACGTTTTGTTTCATTTACGAAATATCATCAATGTTGTTAATATTATTTGAGCTTTTACCTCTTTATATATTATTTTATTACTATGAAGGGGAAAACCTAGATAAATATTCTAGTTTTGAAAATAGTCGAAAAAAACAAGAATTATGATTCAACAATTTAATTTACCTATTTCATTACAAAAGCAAGAATAACTTTAAATACACAAAAATAATCGATACGTTATAGCAATGTCTACAAGATACCGTTGGCATTAACACGGAATATGAAATTATTCAGCCCCTTGACTCTCCAGAAGACATAACCTGACAGACATTTTAAAATGCTTTCAAGAATTCAAGATACATTTGATAACTTGATAAGCTAACGCTAAGCAATCTAAAGATGGATCGGGGACGTGATTAATGATATTTCTTTTAAATTAAACGTCTTGCAAAACAGCAAACAAAGACTTGAACCCAATATTCCGAATGCATTTTATTGTTGTCTTATGTGAGAGCAACGGACGACAACTTTATGCGCCACCCCACACATTTATAGATTGGTATAAGAGGGAATATAGCCCAGATTTACTTTATTGCCGGATGCAACAGGTCGCGGATATAAAGGGGGCGACGTGTTCCGGAACTTTTGTAAGTCGACCGAAGTGCCGAAGTCACTTGAGAAGTTTCGCCTAGCTTCAATGCGGAAAGCGGCGCTTTACAACGTGCTAAGTAGATCATTAGAGGCTTACACTTGACTACTCACTGTAATGGCCTGTATATATAATATTATTAAATAGTTAAAAAAAATCACACAGTGCCATCTAATCTCAAACTTAGCTTAACTTTCAAAGTTAGCAGATCATGTACTATGGGCATATGGCTACTGGATGACTCATAGATATTTTAAGTAATGCATACGTTCAGTAATGCACATGTACAGTGGTTAAGTTATATCAATTATACGGTCCTTTTTGTTCTATTAGTCCATGCGTATATTTAACTAGTTATTACTCTCGAATTTGTTTAATTTTTATGTATACTATAATATAGTCTTCGTCCGTCCTCTAGATATAATATATCATCACGTCAAACTTTAAGTTCGTTCAGCCCAATGAAAAAATGTGTACAGACGATAATAAGATAATATATAGATAAATATTACATATTAATATCTACTGATTTACCAACATTACTCTATGGCGCTTCGTAACTTAATAAAGTCTTAAAATCATAAAATTTATCTGCAAAATCAATCATTTTTTATTCATAAGCAAATCTTTTCCAAATTAATTACATCTAAACAGTCTCCTAATCGGCTTTACAGTACGTAATACATTTTACATTTTTTTATTGACCCTCTGAAGTGCTGGACTTAGGTGCGTAATCGAATCGTCTCGATTCCGATGCGATCCCAGCATTCGAATGCTCCCTAAGGATTGCCCGGATGATTGGGTATTATGAGATTCCCAGTTACAGGCAGTAGGCACGTATTAAATCATCGAGAGAGGTATATTTATCTCGATTGTTTCGTCGGACAGACGGAAATGTATTCATTATATTGTGGGAGAAACTATAAATAACTATTAACAATGGTTCGATAAATTGAATGTTTTTCATAATTCCTATAATTCTTATAAACATTAAATCAGAAATTCTTTTCCTTTGTAACTTGTAATATATGTACAGGTATATGAAGAATGTTTCTGTTAAACATAAAACTAAACGCATCTCGTTTTCGCAAAAAAAAAAATTTCAATATCATAATGTTACACCAAGTTTTCTACAAAAGCACATTGAGCAATATGTAGATTTTTTGTAAAATAATCGACGGGTTTGTTACAAACATAATAAAATGTTTGTCTGTAATGGTTTTTTTTCAATCTTCTCCGGAAAAAGAAGTATTTTATACTAATTCTTTTTTACAAAATACGCTATATTTTAGACAATTGCGTTGACCATATGTAGTATAGTATGAAAAATATTTATGAATGTAAAAATATCTGTGTATTGTACAGGCATATAAAATATACCAATAATGATATTTACAAAAATTAAAGACTGATTTCAATTACTTTTCAAACCTTTACGTTATTTAATTGAAGTGAAATCCCCTTCCAGTGAGTAGCCAGGCTTGAATATGCTCGACTCCATACGTCATTGAAATATGATTAATGGCGGGGTCAACTTGATTAAGTACCTCTATCAATTAGCCAGAAATAATTTCTATAAGAGTATTATAACGCAAGTGCTGATTGTGATATAGCTGTTTCTATATTGTACTGTACAACTACTACACTACATGTACATGCCTAAAGATTATAATTGATTGTAAACACAATAGTAATATTAAATCATAATAGTCCGAGCATGTACACTATATCACAAATAAAATATTCTACTCCTGAATATATATACATATATTTCTGCATTTATTTGCAAGTTAACATAAGTCACACAATATATGCCTGTAATCTATGTAGATTCAACTGGATTATTGCACTTTTCAAATGATGTATAATTTCAAATAAGTGCAGCGATCCAAGCGATTAAGCAACATACAAACCAACACAAATAAATCGTAATTTTGAATTATTAATCAGTAATTCAGTTCTTTTCAAATAAGTAATAAAAAGAGAACTAAAAAAAACAACATATTAAACACATCTTAGCCTTAGACTTAAATCTCAACCAAAAAATAATAATTTGTAATGCATAATTATGTATTCTTCTTTACTGGACTCGTAGATATTATTAAGATATAAGAAATACTGTGAAAATATATTGCCAATCTAAAAGTTCATAATTCATTGAGACAAGCAAGCACTAAATAAATTGCCCGATCCAATATCCGCACAGGACCTAGAAAGTCAAGATCACCTTTGAACAGTCCACGGGAATTGCCATATAATTAGATCAGAGGCAGACTCGATTGGCCTTTGCAACGATGACCTCCCCTCTCCATTACCTTATTACCCTCTCCCATTATTACGTTACTAATTTTCCTGCACATCGAGAAGCTAACTAAGTTTCTCGTAGCATAAAGGGCGCGTTTTGATTGTCAATTACCGTCTCGTGGACGCCAAAGGGTGACTCGGGAACGGACGCTCAAAGTAAAGACCAGGATGTAATTAATTGTGTGAGAGAAACTTTCCATATTCACCACATAAATGTTTGAACTTTGGTACTCTAGTGCAAGATTTTTTTAAATCTTTTGGAATAGCCTAGTGATGGCTATCTAATATAAACTAGGAATTAATATCAATGGACAGCGCCATACACACAAATAAATTCACAGACAATAATTTCTAAACCAAAGATTTTATATACTCTACGGACTTATTAGTTTATTTAATTTATATCGGAGATGTATACAAGTTAATCTAAAATGGAAGCTACGTTCTCCACAGTTACGTTACATTCATAAATTATTTTTCAAAAGAGATCTTATACAAATTTGGCCTTCAGCCTTGTTTTAAAAACAATTATAGAGACTATAAACAATAATCATAATGACATTTTAAAGATTTATATTCGTTTTACCTAAGATATTTAGCCATAATTTTTTTATATAAATTTAAAAACCACTAACATGTCATCAAGCAACAGTTCCTCAGATATACATGTATATCAAGAGGAAATAGTACTCGAGGAGAAGAGTTCTGAACCTGATCCTCCTATGAGTGAGTGGTCATCATTGATAATAGAACATCCTAAAGAGAATAGAAAAATAGCTCTCGCTGCGCAAGGCCTTTATTCTCCGGGTAGTAGCGAAATATGCACAAAATATATTTCTATGTCTGATAGTGACATCTCCAGGCATGTCTACTACAATTATCCAGCTGTGCTCGACCCCGGCATCAACGATGCTTTACTCCTTCCTGATAAACCTATCATTTACGCCGATAATGGACAGGAATTATATCAAGCAATATGTTCAGAAATGAATATTTGCCCCATACGAATATTCACTAAGAATTTACTTTCACAGGAAATTAACCTAAGCTATTACGGAGTTGCACCAGCAGCAATCCGTGCAATGTCAATAGCACTGCATTACAATAAACATGTGCAGCGTCTAAATCTTACTGATAATTTTCTAAATAATGATGCCTGTTTTCATTTAGGAAGAATGTTGGTAATTAATTCCACTATTAAAGAATTAATATTGGCTGGGTGCCGAGTAGGAGCATCAGGGGTATTGCGATTGATTGATACCTTGACTATAAATCGTAGTTTGACTACACTCGATCTTAGCCGAAACTGTTTAACTGAAGACGGAGGCTTTCATTTCGCTGAGCAAATTTCTCAAGGTGCAACAGTATCTCGAGTGAATCTAAGTAAAAATCAATTAGGCAAACAGACTGCATTAGCACTTGCAGAGGCCCTAGAATTTAGAAATACTTTAACACACCTTGATTTGTCTTGGAATAACTTTTTTCATGCTCCAACAACAATAAAAATGTTGGACATGTTATCAAATAGCGAAGTTTTGCAAGAGCTAAATCTAGCTTGGAACTCCATGGAAGGAGAAAGAGTTGCAGTGGCTATTTCAAATTTAATTCGCATACCTACATTAACAATACTAGATTTAAGTAATAACAGATTCCAGGGTGATGCTATTCCATTATTAACAAGTACTCTAATAAAATCAAGAAGACTAGCTACTTTTAATCTTTCGTTCAACCCTCTAAGCCTAGATGATGCGTTGGTAGTTTTACAAAAAATGTTAAAACCTCGTGTCAAAATAGAAAATCTGTTTCTGGAAAATATTTGTGTTGATAAAAATTTTATGATATGTCTAAATAGAGTGAAGAAAATGAAATCCCGTAAAAATTTCGTCATAAAACATGGGAAAGTAGTCAAAAACTGGACAATATATGGACAAGATCCTAGAGAAGTCATATTAAACAGAGCAAGTTATCTGGGTACGAGAGACAAGAAACGTCATGTTGATATTGCTTTATTCTTCCTCATATTAACTAAGGAATATCCAAAGCCTTTTATTGCTGTTAAGGATTTAATTGATAAAGTTGATACTGAAAATGTTCCCTTAGATGTTGAACTAATAGCTGAACTAGCGAACATCTTCCCAGGACCTAAATCAGCGAAGACAAAGTTTATAAACTTGGTTAACATATGTGATTACATAAACCGGATATGGCCTGATAAAGTTCTGCCACTAACACCGCCGCCGGAGCCAGAGCCAGAGCCTGTACCGGAACTTCCGAAAGGCAAAGTCAAAGGAAAGAAGGGAAAAGCTTAAGTAGTTGTGTAGTAACTTTGAGTAATGTTGTTAGGTTATGCAAGTAGCATGGGTTGTTAATTTTTCTTTCGTAATAATGTTTATATTTAACGGTGTTAATTGTTTATTAAGATATTGGTTTCATAATCGTTTACTAATTAATTAAATTCACTAATAAATTGCGTATTGAACTAAAATATCTGTGTTTGATTTTATAACATTAAATAATACGGAAATTAGAATATGTTCTCCCGTTATCGCATCTTACATCACAAATTGCGTCGAAATAAACATGCATGTATAGAATCAAACAAATCCCATTTGTCCTTTTCCGGTTATGCTGCCGACAGTCGAGTTGCGGCGTTTTACTGGCCTTGCCTGGGGCGCCTAATTTCCGCTTGCGCCTACAACACTGGCGCATTAACTTTCTTAAATATTAATGTTTTTTAAACATATATTAGTTGATCAGACCAAAAGATTATCTCGTTAAAATGTTCTAATCCGTAGCCGTGTGTATAGAAAATAATTAAACAATATAATTTGGTAAAATGTTGCTCCATCATAATTTAAGAAGCAAAATAAGCTTGTATAAGAACACTTATTATATCTAAGTAATCCAATTAGAAATGGATAAAAAGATATATTAATTTTTAAAATAAAGAAAACAGATCTCAGACATATCCAAGTAACATATGTGGTAATATGCATATATTTCAAATAAAAAATATGTAGTTACTCTATCTCATAAGATATAGAGTAACTACATATTTTTTGAATAAATAAACATATCTGCACTGTCTGGAATTTTTTTAAAATAAACATTATAGGTTCCATTATTAATACTATTCGGTACCGATTGTAAAGATTTCTAATAGTTTCATATTCTTTATTGTGACTTCTATATTTATTACCTTATATATAAAATTCTCGTGTCACAATGTTAGTTACCATACTCTTCCGAAACGGCTTGACCGATTTTTCTGGAATTTTATAAGCATATTCAGCAGGTCCGAGAATTGACTACTATCTATTTTTCATACCCCTAAGTGATAAGAGTTGTCCACCCCTAATTTGTTTTTATTTTTCGGTCACTTTTTTTTTAGATTGTGGCCTCAGATAGATACATTCAACTCTATATTATCACCATCCCCTAATTTTAATAGTGATTTTATATAGAAAAGCAATGATCGGCTAGTGTATTATCCGAAATAAAAGAGTTTTGTACAGTAGTAGTTATCAACACTCAATAAACAACTACATATGAAATGCGGTATATCAAAGTACATCAGGTAACCTGCATGAAGCTTCAATTAGTGAGAGCGAGTGTTCAGTGCTCCACTTCAGGTCCTTTACACAGCAGACCACGAGGCTCAAGGTGCAGAATAGTTAACCGACTATTATGCGACAAGAGCCCTACACACGCCGACGTGCAATCATAGTGCTTTGGAAATACTGGAGTGAACTCGTGAATGCAGGGATTGTAATTTGAATGGTGGATTTTGTTGAATGAGAGCATTAATCCGATTCGAAAAAAACGTCTTTCAGTCTCTTTTGAAACTACTATATTTGAGATACGGGCATTTGATTATAATGTTAAATTAAAGTATATCAATAATAATGTGGTAGAACCTTAGAAGAGCATATAAATGTAATTATATTGGCTAAATGTAAATTAGAGTGAATTTTTCACATTTAGACTTTGTTTAGGTCTTTGTGCGTAGGTCTTACTTAGACAAAGTATCGCGCTGAAATACTGCTGCAGACTGATTAAATATTAAAACTGAATAATTATATAATAAAAGTTATAATTTTTAAGTATCAATAATACTGTTCACATTATAATTTATAATTTTTTTTTTTTATTCAAACTAAAAAAAAAGGTAAAAAGGTTTTAAAGTACCAATATCCATAATCAAAGTCGTCAGAGCCTTTTATATTTTATAATATGTATAATGTATAAAAATATGAGTATAAGAATATTTGTTAGTCTTAATATGTAGCTTACTTTGTAAACATAGAATAAGAATGTAAATTCATAAACGCGACGTACTACACTTTATTTTTTTACTCTCTCTTCCGGCTCTTTACCACAATATTACGTTTTGCAAAAATTATGAAGTATATCTTCATAGTTTATTGCCTTACCTTATTAACCCTTCACTAATGGTTCGTCCCGGCTTCGCCCGATGCCCAAAACTTCTTTTAAGTTATTTTAATATTTTCAAATTCGTACTGTACATAATATTTTGTGAGTATCAGAAACAATCAAAAACCTTATTAAGTCGTTTCCGAATTATGGCATGACGAAGGAAAATAGTTCAAAATAGATATGTATTATATAGACTACTTATTGTAATATTATTAGAGTTATGTACTTACCTCCCCCATTCTTGTAGCAGAGATATGGGAAGCGCCATACGTTGGCGAGATCGACGGCGAACCCGATGACCGAGAGCAGGAAATCGACCTTCTTGCCCCAAGTCTCGCGCTCGCCGACGCCTGGCGTGGGCGTCTTCAGCGCCATCCTACTGGTGAACGACACGAAGCCGCCACACCCTGCATACAATAAAATGAATATCAAATATATGTAATTTCACGACAGTAATCCTAAATAGAGTAAGCGCGACATTCTTTAGTGTTAAATTTTTATAAGGAATCTGCGATTCCATATAAACAAGCTAGCTGCAGTCAACCCTTTTTTTGTCAAGTGGACAAATCTTCAAATGACCATTTACCTGGCATCGCGGCAGAGGGGTGACGAGGATGTGTATGGTATTCTTATCCAGTAAAAACCACGCACCGTGTACCTACGATCGTCATAGCCGGAGTTGCGGCGAGGTCGCGTTGCTAGCGGCTACTTGTATATTAGCTGTGTTTCGATTTAAGAATGAGATATGACAGTCAAATTACAACATACGGTGGATACCAACGTAATCCTTCAAGATGGCAACGCATGAGGTCTACCATAACACAACAAAGGTATGTGACCAACCGTGATGCTGTTCATGTATCAAGCCAGCAATTGCTACTCCCCATGAGTGAGACAGTTAACTTTTGCCATCCCAGATATAAACTCACTTATTCTCTATTCAAAATCCTCATATCCACAACGTACAGAACTAAAACACTTGACCTTTAACTCGACCGGTTAATTAACAAGAGAAATATTCGCGGCCCACTCGTGAATCTCTTCATTACTGGCCGGACGCGGCGCCGGACGCCGGACTCCGGACAGGGATATAATGAAGTGACAAATGTTACGTACGCGCCAGTGACTGAGAGCCAGCTCTCGACTGCGACCGCGCTGATCGACTAGCTTTAGATTAGGGTTGTAACTCTTCAATTTATTATAGAGATCTTCAATATGCAAGTTTACAGAATACAACTTGCATATTGAAGATTTCTTAATGAGAGCACTTCTGTAATCAAAATGTAACGTAATGTTTTCTATTGTATTTAGTCTTTGTGTCTTTTTGTTATTTAAAGTTATTATTATTCATTTACATAGTTTTTGTTTTTAAATTTATCGAAAATTATGATATTATACAAAAAGCTTTTACGAGTAAAAGCTGTGTCATCATGCTTAGTCCTTGTACTAGACAATAATGAGAACAATAATGTTGGTGGCGCCGATACACTATCAGACAATTCTATTGTAAATAGCATTGTATTTAACAATATTGATTCGATAGCTATTATATAAGAATAGTAACATTTCCAATTAGATTTTAATAAAACGATATAAAGTCGGCAACCCTACTCGGCTCTCGACGTGACTCAGGCGTTGGACGGGCCGGAGTGGCTGTCACGTCCAGCGTGCGGCCGCACTTCCACATTTCCACAGAAAAAGCTCGATGTCACACTACACCACTAACCGGACAAATTGAATGTGCCAAATCGAGTGATGTAGACCATGAATTTATAAATTAAAATTCAAGATTTTATTTAAGGGCAAAAATAACGGTTGTAAACAAGAAACGTGACACAGTTGTGATACTACCAACATGACAGTTTATTAAAAGATGAATATGGAATGGTGCACCCGCCTGCGCTGAGTGTGCAGTGAAAAATACAGAAATAATTTCTTTTTTTTTATTTAAATTATAGATATATATTTTTGTAATTACATTATTCAAAAAATACATAGAAAAAAGGAGTGTACTAAACCAATATTATTGTTGACCTAGGTCGACAATAATATTTTTTTACATAAATATGCATAACAATAATATTCTTATTCGTTTAACAATTTACAACAGTTATGAAGATATATTTTTTCTACATAAAATTTATGACATATTGTTAAAGAACATATCTAAATATTTTTTTAGCTTTGATTTCATAACTAAAGATAAAATTGTACAAAAATGTGTCTCTTGTAAAATATATAGCGATGTTAAAGGGGAATCAGTGGAGAATAGGCTTGAGATAAGCTTCAGTCAAGTCAGGGCAATTTTTATGTAACTGTCACACAAAACCTGGAATGACAAAAAGCTGACGCTCCGCCTGACAGTAAGTGGTATCCGTCGCCTTTAAAGATGTGTTATACTTGTATAAAGGCAGAAATTACGTTATTATGTGATACCTTCTTACATTCCTGAGGACAAATGTGATACGAGAATTTTATGGAATTATATGGAATGGTGCAATTCTGCACTCTCTGGTGCACGTTTCATTCACATGCTCTGACAAGTCAATAACCACATATTCGTAAAGATAGTGAATTCATCATGACTTAACAGATTTATATTATTTTGTTTAATTCGCTGAGACCACAAATATTCACTGTGGCAACTTGACAAGCTTTACGACCTTCTCTAATGGCGATCAAATTTCGACCGTTATTGAGTCTACACCCATATTGCTTAAGATGTAGTACTAGTAATACTAGTACTTTCGCTTAGTTCAGATTAGTGTTGACTGTTCGGAGACCAAACCGCGACTAGGTTCAGTCGCCGAACGTTCCACACTGAATATTTATGGTCTCACACATGCTAATTGTAGCGGAATTAAACAAAATAATATAAATCCATTAAGTAGTGGAATGTACTTCCGCAAAATAACACCTAATTCGATTAAATAAATTCGTCATGAAATAATCAAGATGATTTCTAGGAGGACCGGATTGAAGTCAACTTGACAAAGTATCTACACAGCTAGCAATGTGACTAGTCTCCTTTAAAAAGAGATAATAATAATAAATATCTCAGTATACTTCACACAACGCCATCTAACCCCAATCACTAGACTACAAATACCAATATATAGGCATATAGTTTTTAAATACATACACAATTTACAAAAAACTCAGCCTGATATTAACAATACCGTGCGAGGAATCGAACCTGTAACCATCGAAAGTAAGGCGGTGTATTAAATCGCTAGACCACTGAGGCCGTCAGATGAATATTAGGTATATTATCAGTATAATGTTGTAATCTTATGAAAATCTTTTTTTAATAATTTATATCTAACTACAGTAAAACTCATTGCGCACACAACAATAAAAAAAATGTCTTATGCATACAAATGTTTTTCACTTTGATTTTAGACAATATGATATACAGATAATTTGAGATCTTCCTTTTTATTTATAGATTACTATCAATCCGCCCCGGCTTCGCACGGGTGTACATGTATTATACACATAAACACTCTAAATGTGCTGAAATCTGCATTAAAATCCGTTAAGTTTAAAAGATTTAAAGCGAACAAACAACTGCAGAGACTTCATTTTATACAATGTAAAGATATTATATATTCTCTATTTGAGATAATTTACTACTGCGTTAACCACAAACTTCAATTTTAGAAAAGTATTTTTTATTGTTCGTATATTCATTTCTTTTGCCATTATCATCATAAAAACCATATTTCAAGTATTCTCTGGCATGCAAAATTCCATTCGAACTAAAGCAAAACTCGATTGCTTGAAGTGCCTACATTTATTTTCTTTTTTTTTTTTAATGTGGCATTAAAAAATACATACAACCTTAAATTTTTACTCTCTTACCATCAAACCCCTATTTTTTAATAGCGATTATAATTTATTAAGCAAAACAACGTTTGCGGGTTTAGCTAGTAATATAATAAAAGTAATGTGATAGCATGTCATATTTTTGACATACTTTATATAGACTAGCCGAGCGAAATTTATTTTTAATTAACAAGTGCAGTTATGATGACTAAAAAAATACTATTTGATTTAATTGATCTCGTCCAACATTCTCATGTGTAATAAAGCCAAGAACTTTGAATTTAACATTAATTATCTTAAAAATTTTGATAATTATCGGTAAATTCGAGAAATTCTGTCGCAAATTCTCGTGCCTCGGTAAATAAAACAGGGGGACCTATTTATATATATTTAAACCAGAAATTCTGGCAGTTTTATTTGAGTAAAGTATTCTATACGATTTATTAGAAGTTTGTAACTACTTTTTAATTGTAGGTACTAAAATATTTTTATGAAAAAATAAAGATTCCCTTTACATTGAAAATTTCTTATGTATACCCCCGTTTTATGTAAGGATTCTAATACAAATTGTATTAGAATCCTTACATAAAACAGGGGTCATTACGTATCTAACAAAATTTTCTATGGGAAAAATTATGTAAATTTTTCTTTAGGATACGTCCTCGTGTAACTTTGGGCCTGAGCAACCGTACTCTATTCTTTCAGACACATTATAAATAGGAATTCTTTAGTTAAGAACCGTATTAATGCCAATCTAATATCACAGCAAATAATGTTAGACTTGCATTGACACGATTTTCTTTTTATCAGTTTTTTTTATTTACTTTTATCAATTCTGTCAACTTCGTGTAGAAACTTGGATCGTACATCGAATATACGTGCGATATTATAATAGAAGTAGAGGAAATATAATAAATTTTCTCTGCATTAGGTACTTAAATTATCACATAAGGCATAAACTTGTAGTATTGCGGAATAAAACACTCGTATGTATCACTAAAGTTTATTTATATTTTAACTACATGTAAATTAATAACATCGTATTTTATTACATTGTGTATTTTGGTGCTGGAGTCGGTATGTGCTGCTCTCCAACGATTAGCTCCTGTGAGAAGCCTTTGAAGTGATGGTATCCTTGTTTCAGTAGGTGTTCATGGTCCTTGTTAATTCCAATATTTCTACTCTTTTTCCTCTTGATTTTTGTAAGTGAGTTGTTGCAGTTGTAACTTTATCTTAATATTTTCACTAAATCTACGGATATTATTTACCAACCCGCACGCAATTTCATCTGTGTTATATTTTACGTTACGTTTGCAATATTTTCATTGCACCATCGCTTGCATTGATCGTAGCTTGATGATATAGCCTTTCTCGATAAATGGACTACCCGACACTAAAGAATTTTTAAAATCGAATCAGTAGTATCACATATCAACCGGAACATCTAATAAATCATAAATCTCTTTATAACGTCTAATCAATTTGTCATTCTACTCTAACTTTTTAACTAGCATATATAATTTTATTCTACGATTATTTAAAAGAACGACATACAATTTTCTTGTGACGAGAAGGCTTTCCAAATGGACACTAGATTAAAAATTTTGTGATGACTATTCAAAAGTGCTTAAACTGAGTTTATTTGAATAAAGAATTTTCTATTCTATTATTCTTCCTGTTCTCGATACTATACATATGTACATACCTAGTTGAAAATACTTTTATTTTATATAGTGCAGTAGACAGCAAATAAAATATTATTTGAACATAAATTTAAATATCATTTTAGTTTGAATACAATTTTTTTATCTCTTTGGCTTCTATCTGATATGGTCGATATGTTCATTCTTAAATTCTAAATCTCATCGGCTGCGTCGAAGGTTCTAGTTTAAAAAAATTAAGAACATCCGAGGACAGTATTCTAGGAGGTTTTATCCCGCCCACACTCTATGAATTATTTTTATTCTATCACATAGAAATTCTCTACTATATCTCTCTACTGTCTACGTAATCATAATCCATAGATTTGTACATCTTTTATAAAATTAAGTACCTTATTGTACCTATAAGTACTCTACATGTTCTGTCTTCCCTGTTCATAATGACAGGCTTTATGGTTGTTTGAATGAATTAACGCTAAATAGACCATCACGTGGTGTCTCGTGGAAACCATCGTAGTTAAATAGGATAACTAGTCCCCATTACTAACAATCTCTTTCATTCCCCCCATGGCTTAGTGACAACGTCATGCTCCTAGTTCCAGTCGCCATTCAAAAAAATAAATACCGTCCGTATTTATAAATATCATGGTATAAACTTTAATATATAATTAAATAGAGAAAGAATTAAACGGGAAAACCTTATAAAGAAAGTAGTTTAAAATCTAAACTAACTTGGCTGCCTGGCGAACTACCGCATTTGGTACCGCCTTAGAATATCACTGATGAATTTCAGATAAAATCTTTCTCAATATATTTTATTAAACCGAATTTGAACAACGATGTTCACAACTGAATCTTTTATCAATATATAATATAGTAAATAACGTTAGACTCATTTTTATACATGTTTCTATCATGTATCAGTAGGTAATGGCATTGTAAACCTACCTACGGTTTATTTTATTATTTTTTCTAAGTCACAGTTATTATGGTCAAGCATTCCTAAAGCCTAAAAGAATAAAAAAATAGTCGTCATATCCAGTCAATCCGTCTGCGACGTATCTAAAAATCCGTTCCATACAAAATGTAAGTATCAATCAGGTAAATAATTTACTACACGATTTGTTTCGTTTTCCAATGTCTTTTTTAGTTATTTTGCTATTTGGTATTGAGACAAGTCGGAAACCTCAATCAGAGAAATAAAAATCGGTTTAGCCCTTCTTGAATTATAAATAGTGTAATTATTTTGTATAATAAAATAGTGTTTTATATAATAAAATAATGATATTAGTGGTATATGTAATATTAATAGTATTATATAACTTTTTTTATATACCAATTGAAAATAACCGAAATAAACATTAAATGTTACGAGAAAAAATCAGAAACATTATTTTTATTTATAGGGCATGATTGGCGCCCACAAATCATAGACAATAGAGCGTATAAAGGTTGATACTCACGTGCGGCTCGGCGGGCGCAGAACTCGCGCCATGTCCGCGCGGCGCGGTGACCGAGGCAAAGTGAGTTTCACGGGCGTTAACTAAACCAGTAAACGTCCCCAGCGCAGCATTTCTGCAGTGCACTGGGCGGGTCGCAAATCCCAACCACTCCCAGCACTGTTGAGATTTTGCGCCATCGATCTACATGGGACTATTCAAATGAAAATATTAACACAACTGAAAATCAACCTAAATCTTAAAAAATTTAACAATGAGAGTGAGTCAAACAACATTTGGATTGATTAATATCATTGTCTTTTCTCGCCCTTCTGGTTCTGCTGTGCGACTGTCTCATGCATCATACTCGTAAACGGGTCCTGCTTGTAAGGACTGGTCTGCGCTGATAACTATGACTGATTAATTTTGTTACTCAAGTAACTATTAATTTATTTATGTCAACTTTGCTATTTAGCAGTTTGTATTCACACAAAATTCTTAGAAATATAATTCTGAACAATATTTATTTACAAGAGCAATACGCAAGTTTCTTGCTCAATTTTCTTGTGATGAGTTTGCATTCCGAATGAGTGGTAGAATAATAATAATAATAATAATAAAACATGACTATTCAAAAATATTATATTAAGATAAATAACGATTATTTCTGTTTCTATCGTATTTCTTCGACTCAGTCGACTTTTTACAAAACCTATCTCGTTGTTGGCAAAGACATTGTGTGACATAGACACAAAATATATTTTATAATTATACAATAACATCTTGTCTATAGAAGATTACTTTTCATCAAGCGTTATAATCCTACTTCTTAAGTTTAAGAGATCTAGAGAGAGAGAGAGCAAGGAGAATAGGGAGCCTCTATCACTGCCTAAAGTCACTATGCCACTTCCAATACTTCCATAATTGATCTTATGACCTTTTTTTCACTCAGTAAGTCATCCATAAGCATCCGATATTGTTCGGTTCATGTATAGATATATTATTATATTCACTAAGAAACTGGATGGAAATCGGAAAATATATTATTACACCTTTTAATTTTTCTAATTTTCTAGTTAAGTACCAATAAATTAGTAAAATAAAACGTTCGAGAAACTGTTCAAGCCCATGTATACACTAGGTATACCTGACTATCGCTGATTTTGGATTGGTGTATCTTTTATGAAAACACAGTAGGTACAGTGAACAAACAACAATCAATATCACTTACTAGACATACCAATTTATCCTAGAATACTTTATTACCTATTTCTGTATATTAGATATCTAGAACTTTACTTTCTACATGTAAAGTAATCAATTAACAGTGGGCGGGCGGAACGCCCTCAACGAGTAGGCGGGGCTCGTGGCACCACGCCTTATACAAAAAGTGGCCACTTCGTGCCAATTACTTCGTCAATACTAACATTAAATGTACCTATATGTAACTAGAACCTAAATATATCTAAGTGAGTATCTACTTGTATAATAAGTTAATTGATATAAATTTCTTTAGTACTTAACTATCTATTATGCCTTTAGGTAACCTGCTGTACTTATTCTATGTAGAACGGCCAACAAGCTAACGGTCTAGTTGATACTATAGGCATAGTATCAGGAAGTCTGTTAGCATTGTTGTACAATATATGGCGACTAACCATAGGCTTGGGGCAACCATAAGCGTCCAGTGAAACTGTAGATACAGGCCAGCTGTGGCAAACATAATTAGAGTAGTCTAAAAAAAGCATGTGGCAATATATGTACAGAACTGATGACATGAACAGGGATGAATGGAAGAGAAAAACATATTACACCGACATCAAATAAATGGGACAAGGAAGAAGGAGATGATGATGAACAGAACGACGAACATCACTTCATCATGTGACGCTCGTCATACCACTCATGCATTATCTAACATTTTGGAAAACTAAGATATCATGCCTCGGAATAATATATTTTTACTACTTTCTTCAACCGAAACACAGCTTACGAAGCAAACTGTTTTAAAACAGAAATAGGTGGGACAAAATCGATTTTGTAATATGTCTATCTGGGTAAATATATTCCAACAAGAGAGATCCTAATTATTGTTCTGAGCCCTATACCTAGCGTACTCGCTATAAGTAGTTATTATTACTTATAGCGAGTACGCTAGGTACATATAGGGACAATTTGACAACCTTGATGGGCGAGCCCAGGTTTAGCACGCTTTATTCCCGCCGATCGCGGGTTCGATTGCTAGCTTATAATCATGAATACAAATGTTTGCATAGTTATGCTAACATTTGTATTCATGTTTATATGTGTTTGTATCAGTCTGGGTGTTTCTACTACGTATGAATACAAATAGAAATGTATTTGCGTATTTGTATCGGTTGTCAAGTACCCATAAAACAAGCTCTGCTTAGGTCGGGACTAGGTAAAACTGTGTGAATTGTCAATATTAGATGTTACTAACTGATCCGACAGACGTTGTCCTGTCATAAATTTGAATCTTAACTCTGCACATTGTATATAGTAGGCAAACATTTAAACTTAACGACTGTATTAACGACTGTTTTGTAATATTCCCCGTAACTGTCTTATTTTTTCTTTCAAAAAAACCTTCTGATAATAACAAAAACTGTAGTTTTTGTAATTTATACAATAAAAATACACAAAATCGTTTCAGTCCTTCAGGCGTGATGCCGTGACTAGGGCCGTGCCGGGAAATAGGGATTCATTTCTATATAGTATGTACTCGTAGGTAGGCACTTACTACTTGACCCAGTAGGTATACGTTGTTTTTCCAATAGAGTATACGTATAAAATATCATTAAAATTGAATTATGGCAACCAACACTACGACATGTGAATTACATATTTTATTAAATACTCGAAGAATGATTTGTTAAAGGATAGGTACAGCCAGCTATGTTCTATTACTTTAAAATCGCTGCAGATTTGGAAGTGGGTATATTATTTTTTGCGGTAACTGTAATTGGTAAAGAGTATCTATAGGTATATCTATAAATAAATAAATAAAAATTAATATTGAACTTGGGAAATTTTCTAATTGGAGTCCTATAAAAGACACATAATATATTGATTATATTATGTGATTTTTATTATTTTGGTTATTACCTTCATATTACTTGTATAGTATAATATACTTACTATATACTTACAGTTCATAATTATTTTTTTCTGTAATTCGAATGGCAAACTATCTGATAGGTACTCCAGCTGAAGGTAAGCGGTAACTGTCATTATATACATGAACAAAGTATACGGATATCACGCTATCATGTGATAGAGGGCAATAATGTCATATTTCCTATACTGTAATTACACCAACTAATCGCATCCTACAACCGAAACAGCTTATGTAGCTGTTTGACGGATGCAATAGGTGAGACTTGGAGACCCATCCACACGATTTTTTACAGTCTATATCGTTTTACGGATTGATTTAAATTTAGTAATAATAATGAAGAATGCGCACAGCGCTATCTAGTCCCAAGCTAAGCAGAGCTTGTGTAAATACATTTTTCTTTTGTAAATACATACTTAATCTAAATATATCTAAACTCAAAGGTGACTGACATAGTGATCTATCAGCGCACAGCCTAAACCACTGGACGGGTCGGGCTGAAATTTGTCATGCAGGTAGATGTTATGACGTAGGCATTCGCTAAGAAAGGATTTTGATTAATTCTATCCTCAAGGGGATGTAAGTTTGGATGAAACTTTGTCAATTTTAAATCAATCGGGCTGAGACTTTGCATGCATAATGTTACTATGCCGTAGGCATCCCCTAAAAAAGGATTTTGATAAATTCCACCCCTAAGGGGATAAATTAACGCGAGCGAAGCCGCGGGCAAAAGCTAGTATACACCCTGACCAAAAAAAATATTTTAAGGATACCACTGCTTCCATTATGCGAAGAATCGAACCCGCGATTATAGGACATAGGTAGCGGGATAAATGAATAGACCAGAAATATATTATTATACAACTTTGCAAATTTTGTATTTTATTATTTTTTTACTTAGTGACTGTGGGGCATAACACGTGCTACGTTTGTCACAATGTCGAAAATGCGGCCCCTATCGAAGCAAGGGACTATAGTCGGTATAGTTATTTTTCTATATACCAAAGTTCACGAAGTAACGGAAAAAAACGTCCTGCGGTTTTTATCACATATCTATATCTACTATACTTGAACACAATTAATATTTCTACAATAGTTGTGAAATAGTTTTTGTTAAATATGGTTCTAATAAATTTACAAATTTAGTATTATGTTACGAGGGGAAGGGGATTGTTAGTAATGTGGATTAATAAACCCATTCCTAGCAATTTACCATGTCAGGTAGACCTCCACGCTTTTTCGCCTGGAATCCATCATGAATGAATGAATGAATGAATGAATGAATGAATGAAAAACACTTTATTGTTCCTCTCACAGAAAGATTTAGGTACATAAATTAATACATGTTAAATCCCTAGTGAATTTTCCACAATGGGCTAACTGATCTGACCTCATATAAAATCTTATCATCCACCACTGGTGCCCCGCTTGGCTATACCGTTAGCGCAGGCCAGTGTACCATTCCATTATCATACCTTAAATTTTTATATATATTGTTACAAACATAATAGAATACAAAAGAAGCTATTTGTTATAAAACATCACAGAATAGATTGTGACTCGTACCATGCGTTGTCCTTCATGGTGAAGTGTTTATGCCACACTCTATAATTTTGCAAACAGCTAGTGGTAGAAATAAATTAGCAAATGCCGTTTGAATAAAGTTAGTAATTCGTTTTATGGCAATTGCGTAAGATTTTATACCAAACTACTCTGTTCTAAATCTGAAAAAAAAATATATATCGTATAAAACATTTTGTTTGTAAAAAAAGCTTATTATAAAATTGAAGAGTTTCTAAATTAATATAATAATGTATTTATAGAAAAAAACTTAAAATTTATAGCGCTGAAAATATTAGATATCTAATTGCAGTAAGAATGAGGGCGTAGTGGTTTCTATTGTATATACTAATATTGATTATCGCATTCCACATACTTGTTATTGTGTAATTAATTATTTTAAAGAACGTCTATTCAAAAGAGCATCATGCAAGTTTCTTGCTCGTTCTTCTTGTGATAAATCTGCGTTCTGAATGAGTGGTAGAATAAAAAAAATATCACTATTCAAAAGTGTTTTTATTGAATTTATTTGAATAAAGATTATTTATATTCCTATTTCTAAAGGACGCGTGGACATATGGTTTTATGTGCCTTAATTCGCCCTCTGGTGGTAAGAAAGTAAATACTCAGTGCTGCTTAACTATTTAGGTACTTTCTTACCACTACAGGGCAACTTAAGGCACACAAAACCAGAGTTAGCCGTCTATGAATGGCAAGTTGAAGTATAGAATTCAATATCTAAATAACTATATAGTAATAATTTTAGTATCTCAGGACAATTCATACAGCGCCATTTAGGTCACAGAATCATACTCATGAATAGAAATGTGTGTACCTACCTACTATGCGAGGAATCGAACAGCCGACCATCGGGAGTAAGGCGGTGCTAAACCCCTAGACCACGGAGGCCGTTAATATAAATACGTTAGTTATAATATATATAATACGTTATACATACCTATTCAGGTACATAGAAGTCACGCCTGTCTCATATTGGGGTAAACTGCAGCTATCGAATGCCTCATGCTACGATTCACTCAACTTCCTATACATTCATCTGTCAATATGTTTTATAGTTTGCTTAAACATACTGTATACCTCCTAGCAGTAAATAGATAACGTACCTATATCTCATATCATTTTTGTTCGTTAAATTTCCTTTATTGTTCTATTTTCTAACTTAGCTACAACAATTTTGTTGAAATCGTATGCAGTCGATATCAAAGCTTTCGTGTCAATATTTAATGGTGCTAGGTTTGTTTTAGTTTCTAGTTACAGGCAGGGAAAGCTTAATGCTCAAATGCTCTTGCCGAATGAAAAGAATAATCCTGTTCACATGGTTTGTTATTGACAACCCATTAAAATTTAAAGTCATTATCTTTTGTGGTAGGCTTTGCTTACCATTATTGCTTGCAATGTTACATAATTTGAAGGCTAGAATAGCTATGAGATATTGTACGAATAGTTAGACTACTATCTGTGCCACCACATTATATTTAATATATACCGTCAGTACAGGTTACATCTATAGAAGGCGGGTATCAAATTTCCTAATTTAAGACTTCGGCTTGTTTGATCTTACAATCGTAATATTTCATTACGATTTTAACATCAAACAATTTCCTGAATAAGTGAAAATCAATGTTCCTCAAATCTATTCTCATCAACCCCCAAATCAAAGCATTGAATAATTAAAGATGCATTGTTCCCTTTCTATTATCCATATTAGATTATACTGGTTAAACTCTACCAAAGTAGAGTCTAATACATACTTTTTGTTGAAAATCGATGTTGTGCGCTCTTTTAATTATACAAATATATATACATATATGCCGTCAATACACGGCGAGATAAATTAATAAATTAATACTACATATTCTGATCTTCAACAAATATTTTTATTTTAACATTTTTTCTGACATATCTATTTATTTTTCTATAACAAATTAATGTAGGGTGCCAGTAATTGTCAATCTGCAACACTTTTATTTTATCGCTCAATATACTCGATTCTAGTGCTGTACAAATATTTAAGAAATAAAAACCCACCGCTATGATTGGTCGTCGTTAACATTTTAATCGTCAGGAAAGCCAATCAAAAACTTCCAAGCATACAGCTTAAAAATGTCGTCGCAAGTGTAATCATTTGGTGTTGTTTATCTTTATTTTATAAAACCTATCGCGGGCGTACTCTTTTCAATAACTAACACTTAACACTAATAGTTTGCTTTTCTATTATTCCATAAAAGTATAAATACAGGTGAGCTTTACAACAAAGTTATATATTTGTACATTCACCAATGACAGATGATCCTTTGCAAATGTTTTTTCTATTTGTAAATAATAACAAAAGACTACATTGTGGACTTAAATATTATTGTCAAATAAAAGAATAAATAAATACAATAATTATCTGATGATATATAGTATAAGTGTTATGCCATTTTATTTTAATTTGTATAGAAAGTTTCCTCGATATACTGGAATAATGATTTCCGTAATTGGTGTGGTTTGATAGCTGATGTGTTTTTGTAGAGATGGCAGACGAAATGGACCCGTGCGAATGTCTGTGGAATAACGAGTTCGCGATGCGGCGACTCATATCCATGGTGAGTTATCTATTGACCTTGGCTTCGTAAATTAAGTGGGTGTATCATAGTGATATGCATTTGCCTAATGGACTATTTAGTTTGAATATGGAATGCCTGCTTAAATATCACTAGTCTATTTACTAGCAAACATTATAATGTTTATGGTTGATTGATGTCCCTGCTGCACTAACAGTATAAGTGGTGGTACATCAGTAGAACATGACAGAATAAGAACTTATTTCTAATGGTTGGACTAAGTTCTGCTAATATTTAATATTAGTAAAACTTAGTCCACTCTAATTAATTAAATTATTTGATTAAATTAGAAATTTAATATAAAGTTATACAAGATGTACAATTGAAGACATAATAATAATTTATTTCAGTATATCAGATTCTTTGCGCATCCTACTCTGTAAAATGTGTTACTTATGTTAGTCTAATGTACAAGGAATATTAAAATCATATGTATAATCCTATTTGAATAATGTACTAATCAAATATTCCTCATGAAATATAAATTGTTAACTATAGCAATTTACGGCTTCCTATGTCAGGATGATCATTTTGGAATGAACAAATTCATACTTTCATATGAAGTATATAGAGTATAGGTTTCTACTGGAAATCTGTATTATGAAAATTATTTATTTATATTTATGAATAAACAGTAAACTTGGAGGTAATAAATACAACAACATGTTTAAGGAAAAGCTAACATGAAAAGACACAAGGTTACATTACAACAAATACAATTGTTTCTCATTTTAAACAGATGCAAATTGAAAGCCTTTGATATTGTTACAGTATACTTTCATTGTATTGTTGTTGTAAATTTGTTTCTAATTATATTAAGTTTTTAATGCCAACATTATAAAAATATTATACATACATTGATACAAGAAGTATTATACATACATTGATACAGTACATTTCATTGATTATGATTAATTCATTACGTAATTTGTGGTGTTCATAAGTGCCAAATTACAGTAATTAAGTAACTCGGAATTAATAAAAAATAAAATGAGTTACATAGTGTTATATAATACTTTATAACTATAATAACTGTATTATTTTTTAAATGCTGTATTTGTGACATCACAAAAATGTTACCGTTATTGATTTACTTACTAAGCCACTTGCATTGTAAACTGTTTCAGTTAAAGGGTAAGGGTGATGGTTGCCACTTACCATCAGCTGGACTCAGATCTATGAAACCACAGAATATATAATAATTTGGACAGTAATTAGAGGAAAAAAAAGTTACAAAGAGAAACAAATTTTCGCATCATTCTATGACTGTGATATTGAATAGCTTCACCAAATGAGATAAATATTTACAGATATTGTTTGAAACACAAGAATATGTATTTTATTATTATCAGTGCAGGATAATAATGAGATGAGGTCACGTCAGATCATGATAAATTTTACTTTTACTAATGTAAATAGTTAATAGAAAAAATTAGATGTTTCCCTGAAGTAAAGTGGAGTGTAAACTTTAAGTTAGACCTCTAGGAATACATCAATGAAAACTTCATTTGATACCATGCATATGTATCTGCATGATATGTATACAAACAGACTAATAAAAATTCTAAAAACATCTTTGCCCCTGGTTTTATGCAAAGACTTAGACAATATCTATAAAGTGCAGACACCGAACTGTTACAGTATTATTTTATCAAGTATTATATATTATAATATAACGCAGTTTTTAAAAATAGAAAACATTTTTGAGGCGTTCTTTATTTAAATAAGTTACTTTATTATGACTGTATCACCTGTGTAATGGCTTAATAATACATTGTCGTTTCACACACATGTTCTGGATTAATATACAGTAGGTAGTTTCGTTATATGGCCAATAATGTTTGCGATGTTGGCAATGTCAACCTGTTAATTGGAACAATAACAATGAATTTACAATAGCAATATAATTACAATGATAGTATTATATATATATATCAGATGCTGCATTGTCGTAAAACGGCCCATAATAACACTCAACTTTCAATTTTAATATGTTTAATAAATGAATCTATTGTATTATTAGTTACCAATTTACTATAATGAAATTGTAATAGGTTGATGTCTAAAAAACATAATATGGGGTTTTCTTTAGGGCATCAGAAACCAGAATAACAGTTTTCACAATTATTGTCTGTTTGGATGTTTTAATTGAAATACAGTTTTCACCAATGTATTCCTAGAGTAAATACAGCTTCATTATACTGCATAAAAATTATGTACTGAACAAAATGTTTTTTTAAGACTACTCTACGTTGTTGGCCGCAGCTGGCCTTTACAGCTTCACTGGACTGAATTTAATTTAATTTTACAGCTTCGTCAAGGACAGTCTTACTGCACTGGCAACGAGTGCTTAGAGGAGATGCCCGAACTCCCGGCGGCTCCAATGGTCAGCAGCAACTTCCTTATTATGTTTCTCGTGATGGCGTTAGCATTTGCCATGTATATGGTGCGCCCGCGACGCACCCAGATACAGGATGTTGCTAAACCGGGTCGCAACACACAAGTAAGTTTACAGTTGTTTATTATATGTTATACTTTTTTTAATAGTTTATTATGAAATGATATTCCTCCTGCGCTAATATATATGAGATGAGATTCTGCAGTGGCCCAATATATCAAGCATGCAACATGCTTGATGAAAAATTTAATTCTAGTCGTGTTGAATACAATTAGTAGTAAGTTCAAGAACTTAAGAGTACTTGTAAGGAGATGGCAGTCATAATTAACTTCAGTGATGATGAGTACTGGTGGATTTAACCAAACGGCAGACATTATGTGAATAGAAACGCCAGTAACAGCTTGTAATGAAGAAATAAATTAGTCGTAATTTTAAGATAACACACTAGTCCTTGTAAATAGATAGCATAGCATATTATCATTAAATGTAAATTAACAAAAAAATCCAAACGTAATTATAATTATAAAAGCAAGGAAAACCCTAAATTTAGGTGGACGATGATATGTTTTTTTTATCATTCGATAATGGAATAGTTCACCTGCCTACGCTAAATGGTTTACGCTGGCGGGACACTTGTGGAGGATGATAAGATGAGCATGAGGTCAGGTCAGTCACCCCATCGTGACAAATTCACCAGAAATTTATCACGATAGTTTCCAGGGGAAACAGCGTGGAGGTAAACCTGACATGGTACATTGCTAGTAATGGGGTCATGAGTCCACATTAATAACAATCCCCTTCCCCCAAGATAATATGGTTAGAAAGGCAGTGAATCTCGTCCATCATTTCTCATCTCTTGTAGTTATCACCGAGATAACTAAGAATATAAGGTAATGAAAGAGGAAAATATTATAAAATGATATAGGATTAGGAAAAGGAAATACTGATGACGTCCTTACCAACAATATTTTGCAATATAGTATAAAATATTCGACATCGCGATACCATATGGCTGTTTCTATTGAAACTACTGCGCTATCGTTCGGTAATTACTGCAATTTCCATTACGTTAACTGGATTCAGCGAAATAATGCATTTTACTATTACAAAACCGCAAGGTCATTTATGTTATTTGATATGTTAGTTTTGAGTTGTCGTCAAATTAATGTCGCACTGTCTTACAATGTAAGTATAAGTGTAATATGCAAACATATACAGGATTAGTCGTAAGACTATATAGACTACGTATACTCAGCCGAAACCCAATGACAAAATTATGAAACTAAACAATTTTCCCAAAGCATATTATTTTTATACATATATATATATATACCAACTGTTCGATAGTATGACAAATTGTTTTCAGATTTTCACTTTGTTTCTTGGTGAAAGTGGTTCAGTGCCATTACTGAACGAGATATCTGGCTTTACGGGTGACCTTGTATATCTATGTAAATAAGAATAACGTAGTACATTTTATTGAGTCATAATATAGTCAGACAAAGCGTCATGACCTGATTGTTCACTAACCCTATTTATGTCGTGATAATATGGCAAAAACCCAAAGCTTTGTGTATTAAATATCGGACTAACATTCTGGTGTTTTAAAATATTAACAAATGAACATTAAACAGAAAAGGCCGCAAGAGTGGCTTTACTCTCTGATGTTTAATTGAATGGTCACAATACATATGTCCATATTGGTACCATTAAATTGTTAGAGTGCTAAATAATATATATAATAGCAGTGTTAAAAGATGAACCTAAAACAGCTATTATGTTCATCTTCAATTTAGTATCTATCTATTTATATAAAAATGAATTGCTGTTCGATAGTCTCGCTAAAACTCGAGAACGGCTGAACCGATTTATCTAATTTTAGTCTTGAAATATTCGTGGGAGTCTAGGGAATGTTTAAACGGTGATAAAATATGAAAAAATGCATGCAATATTCAATTTTATTTTTCCATACAAACTGTTAAACAGGGTGCATTTAGTAATTTACTGCATAACTAAACTTCAAAACTCCTTTAATTCTGAAGCGGAACGGAGTTCATGCAGTCAACTAGTATTGATATATATATATATATTGTATTTTGAAACTTAAAACATTTAACAATATAATAATATATATTTTATTCCAGGACCGTGACGGCGCACCACCCACTCCGCCAAGAATTTAATTCTTGTAAATGTGTATTTGGATTCATTCACCACATACTTTTGATTCCAGTAATTTGTATAAAAATACTTATATTAAATGTATTAGTTTATGTCGCAATGTTGCCTATCTAACAATAGATAGCGAGTTAGCAACACAATACCATAAGATCGTGTATTAGGTATAATGTATTTACAATAAGTAATGAAATTAATATTATTAATATATATAATTATTATTGCCTATATACTGTGCTGTCATAAATCCACAATGACGAAGGAAATGTATTGTTGAACGTGTAGCGGATAGCGTAGATAGGAATGTTTGAACATGTTGCAAGTTGCCACACGCGCATGTATACCGGAGACCTAATTATATAACAATATTATTAACAACTCTCAATTGTAATAGAGTAAAATGTGGGTTTTTCGGTTTTTTATGAACAATTTGAGAGTTGCAGATGCGAGATAAGTTACGGTTTGCATTTATAATTATTAAATGGTCCCTACATAACTACAAAATTGTAGATTTTTATCCGTTACAGTTAAGGATTTTTAATAACATTGTTACATAATTAAGATCCTGTAGAGAATATGGGAATTATGTCCGTTTAATTAGACCGAATTGCTATTTGACTGCGTCATATCTAATTCAAATATTTTATTTGTACTTGTGGTGCTATAATTTATTAGATGAACTTTTTGATAAATATAGATACTAATTTCCAAATATTACCTATTTCGCTATAGAACTGAAATTGTGTTTTTTTATCTGAAATGATCTGAAATTGTGTGGTATTTATTATTAATAAATACAAATTTTATTTGCATCACATTATAAATACGAGTGCAATATAAAATTATGCAACTCAAATAAAGTTTCGAATATTTTTTTCAATATTGACAAATTACTGTGATCTCCACTAGTTGATGACGTGATATATATAACCATATTGATTTTAAAATTAGGAGCGCTTTGAATTTCACATTTAATCGGCAAATGGAATAGCAGGGCATGCCTCGGATAGTGCAATACTTATAACTTATTCATGTAAACGTATTTAATCGTTCGTTAGTGTAATGAGCAGTTATCAAAAGTCTATGCTCTGTTTGAGCCATAAAGTCAATTTGGAATAGTAGTAAAAATAATGCATAAAAATAAATAGTATGCACCGCTTTTCAGATTCCACATAAAAGACACGATTTACTAAAAATAATAACTGTTATTGGAACAATTGTTTCCGGCTGGTAAGATACACTTGGTTATAAGCGTCAGGTTATCCGATTATGAATAACATTCCGAAAGAAGAAATCGGCCATCTTCAGAGTACGGCGTAGCAAGCAACAATACTAATAAAAAACTACTAGATACCTGACGATAAATCAAATATATGCTATCAGCGTACTGAAAAAAAATATCCAACAAGTCGCTTATAAAATTTCTAATAGTTATTATTTTTTAGTGAAACGTAAATATTCCACTAGTTGTAATTTCTTTTTTCACATTTGTCTCGGGTTGGGTTATCGTTTTATAGTAGGCTTAATTGTGCATCATTATCGTTGTTATAAAAATGAGATTTTGCCGTGAGCATTAATAATTCAAAGTAATAAATAAAACAACTTGCAAGTCAATTATCGTTTCATTCATCATCCTCAGTATTATGTACATATTTTTTTTTGTAAACTAAAATAATAAAATATTCATGTAATTAATATTGCTGAACAACTCTACATAATTATAAAACAATTTCATTACAACGATATGATAATGAATCCATTCATTGCCAACATCCCATACACTTTGCCTATAGTCTTTAGAAGTGCGACATAGGATATATGTAGGAACACTAAAGGAGACGAAATTATATTTTCAATATTCTGATAAATGTTCAGCAGTGGGCTGATGTTGATGACGATGCACATACAAGTACATTGACACACATTCACATGAATAAAAATGAGAGAACAATCTTTAGGCATAAGTCTACATTAGCCTTACGATTTGCGGAAACGGAAGTATAAGTCTCGGTGCATATTTTTTTATCCGACTGTAACATTTATATATGTGAGAGGCACCTTGAACATTACAAAATGAACTGTCGTCTATGGTGCTCTTTATGTCCTTGCCATTCCTGAGAAAGAAGCCGCCATACCTTGTAATTTCACTGTTACATCAAATAGGAACTACCTAAGCAGCTTTTTGGTGATAAGGTGAGACAGAGCATTTTTAAGGATATGGTATTACGCAATATATAGAATTTAATTGCCGGATAGAAAAGCAAATGGAAGTCTGAGCATGCCCACTCGCCATTACGTCATAACTCACCAAGAGCATAATATACATGCCACATATCAATCGACTGTCTCACTCGTATGTAAGAGTCAGGCGCCATGTTTACGACAATTATTGAATTTGGATAATTTGTTACAAAGTGTAATAATAATTAATAACAAATACAGTAAATATTAACATCATAATCAGTACAAAAATACTTATGACTTGACAATTTTACTTTTATATATACTAATTGTACAAAAACTTCACATCTAACTACAGTCCTTGACAGTGCCACCTCCATTCATAGAAGTAGGTGACATGGATCATAGTTCCTGAATTCTGTCAACTTCACTTTTCACTTTTTTCAACAAGTTATGAATTTTTTTATACTTGCCTGTGGAATTTGGAAGGTTCTCGAAATTGATAACGTCACATATATCTTTAGCGAATTTGTCATCAGTAGGCAATTTGTCGTATGGCGAGGCAATATTTACAACTGGTGTGCCATAAGAGGTTGCTTTAATGTGTCCTGCTCGTGAATCTGGTGTTTTGGAAACATCAGAATCACTGTCAGCCAAGCTAGAATCTTTACTACATTCTATTCTAGTTGGAGAATTTATAACTGGTTTCTGTGAACAGCTATTGTCAGCTTTGTCTTCAATATCAGTCAAAGTATTAATAGCATTGTCTTCAGACGTTTTATTATTATCTACATTTTCATCTTCAATTGTTGTATCAGTTAAGGTAATTTCATGTGCTTTGATTTCTTGGGATTCTGATTCTTGTGACCCTTCCAGGGCTCGTAATAACAATAGTTTTTTCTTTTCAAGATCGTCTATACTAGGACTAAGTTGGCCGCTACTCTGCTTTTCCTAGAAAATATGACAATGGTTATGAAATACAGCTAATAACTAAAACTTTATTATATCACATTAATATTATCCCAAGATTGATGATAAATGTATTTAAGGGTTTTTATTACCGTTTGAAGCAAAAACTTGCATGAATTGGACTAAAACTTGTTAAACAAATTGATTATATTCTAAATGAACACAAAGGATAAAAGATCTCCTTTGTGTTCATTTAGAATATATAAAATACATGAGTAGCATATAGCGGTACAATATTAATGAAAAGCAAAATAGTTATTAATTATGGCATTCATGCGAAATAACAATACGCTGGATGTTGCTGTGTCATTCTAAGAGATGCTTTGTTATCTATTGAATCCTTTAATAGTTGTCTAAACACTGCGATTTAAGTTAAAATAGAGCAATTTTATTGCATTCATTCTTCCAATTTTAATATATAACGTATACTTACATCTTCAACAATCACAACGGAATCCGTTTCTGGAACTTCTATTTCTGTAGTTTCAACTTTATGTATTGTTTCTTCATCCATATTTATGTCTTTTGTGGAACTAGTTTGGCTTTCAACTTCTCCATCTAAATCAATAGTGATAATACCTTCAGGTGATTGTGGGAGTGACAATATTTCTGTACTTTCTTTTGGTGGATTGTCACATTGACGCATTAGTATGTCATTTGCATCACCATCGTCATTTATCTCTATAGTTTCAGCTGAATCACGGGTAGTGGCATCAGTCTTTTGTTCTTCATTGTCAACTTCGTTTTCAGTAGAGTCGTCAGGTGGCGGTGGTGGTGGTGGTGGTGGAGGGGGTGGTAATGAAGGGGGTGACGGCGGTGGCAAAGGTACTGCTGGCGGAGCTTCATCCGGCAATGGCGGCACCCATGGGAAATCTGCAGTCTCTGTAAAAATAACAGGAAAATACTTATATGAAAGTTTTAAATCACTTAGTGGTGAGTTCAGATCACTGCAACAGATCTATATGGTTCATCTTATGAATTAGTTCTGTTTAGTGGACAAAAAAACAATACTATTTCAAAAGTGTTTCAAATTAAGTTTATTTGAAGACAGATCTTAGTCGTTGTAAACCATAGAGCACTACCAGTGAAGCACTGTTATTATGAACCTTATTTCGAAATAATTTTATTGCAGTCACATATTTGGACATAACATCACAATAACCAACTAAAAATTTATTGTTAGACACAGAAAGCCTATCTTGATGCTTCATCTTACGATGAGAGTCTTAGTAAATAAATACTTAGATATACCATCATGACCTGATTCATTTTTAAAAATAGAATATCTACTATATTATAATATATAATTATCAAATACCATCTCCGCTATCTAAATCCATCTCTACTTGGGCGTCTTGTGTGGAGTTATTCAAGGATGCAGAGGGGAAGAACGTTAATTTCTTGCGTTTGTAGGCCTTCATTGCATTCGGGGCCAATGTTTGTAGCATTGCCAATTTGCTATCTTGCTCAGACATCTCGGGTAAGGCATATAAATAGGCCTCCTGTAATATAAGTAATATTAATAAATATTTTATATTTTATTATAAATAATTTTATGGTTAGACCACAAATAATTTGTATATATCTACTATAGTAATGAAAACATAAATTATAAAATTAATTAGGACATTTCAGCCACTTCTGAATTTAATTTTTATATATTATTTCTTCCTGCCATCCAGTACTGATTCAGTTGAAGACCTGACACTAAAAAATAGAACAAACAGTGCAGGCAATTAAAAAAATATAACAATCAAAACAAATGTAATTTTAGAAATTACATAATGGTGTTGAATATATACTATTCTGATCCTATTAGTTTAAATCCTAATTACATTATATGTATAAATCCAATACTGAGGTTGAGGTTTCGGGTTTTAACAATCATCTCATCCTGTAATTTTGAATATACATAGTGTTTAGGATGGAGAAGTACTATATGCAAATTTTTATATAAGTTAATATACTAATAGTGTAATAATATTGAAAAGTAAGGCTACTTTCTGCTTGATGCTGTAAGCAGACAGTAGTACTAACATTATTAATGAAAATAATAAAGTAAATATAATTGAAGCTGAATTCCCATCCATACTAAGACTATAAAAACAAAAGTTTGTCAGTTTGTTACCTTTTTACAACTATTATTTTAATCTAAACAAAACAGATGAAGGCTCACGAAACATGTAGTTTGTTTATCATCTACATGTATTACATTATTAATATCTTGAAATACATCTTATGTAGTTTTTATGTATGTGTTGAGTTTTATCATTTCTTACCTCCTTGTAACGAGAAGTGGCTGGCACATTAAATCCTGGGAAGTCTAGTATCTTTTTAATGTCAAATTTGTCTTTGGAACCAGGCTCAGAGACTTCACCTTCCTCTTCTTCAGGGTCCATGATTGCAGTGCCCTTGAAATTAAAAGTATTTTTAGTTTTAAAAATAATATTATAAGAATAACTCTGAACATTACAACAAGACAAATTTAATCCCAAACTTATCAAAACTTGTAGTACACAAGGCAGTCAAATTTTAATCTTAGTGTGCTAGAATGGCAATGCATAAGTGATACTCAGGCATCACATGATAATATGATGTCCAGGTTGCTGTTCATTTGTATAAGCGACAGTTACCAATTATCATTAGGTTGCCAGCTTGTCTACTATTCCAATTACATTACATTATAAATATGATACATACCGTTGAATCAAACATGGTGATGCCAGAATGTGATATCCTGGCTTCCTCAAGCCAACCCGGCGGGTACCCTAACACCCGCATCTTATAGATGTGCAGCGGGAGCTCATGCCTCTTCAGTCCTAAAGCATGGCGCAGCTGGCCTGATATACGACCAGCAATAAGGTGACCATACTTCTGCTCATCCTCTACATGATAGCGTCTAGAATTTAAATAACAAATTTTGTTAAAATACATGAGAAAAAAAAATACATGAGAAAATGAAAAATACATAAAATATTTAAATTTGACCACTTGATAATAAAAATTATCTTATAGTATAGCTCTTATGGTTATACTACATATATATATTAGTGGTTATGAAGTATAAATAAGCATAACTACTGTATTCATTAATAAGCATAACTAAGAGCAGAAGTATAATTTTATTACCATGTAGCTTGAATAATAATAATAATAATAATAATAATAAATTTTATTAAGCCACAATCATGTACAGGTAAGAGTTCATTTTTTTATATACAATATGTTGTGATTGTATGAGCCTGGGAACTGAACTAGGCACGAGGCCTGTATCTCAGTAGACCAGTACTCACCCCTCGGTTGTGCGGTTCTACTTAGATTTACACAGTAAGATTATGGCAATATCTAGTTATCTGTAGTGTCTAACATATTAGGTAAGTATAGTAAAAATATATATATATATATATATGTGTGTAATGTTGTGAGTGTATGAGTGTATGTGTGCGTGTGTATGTGTGTTTTGTGTGTGTGTGTGTGTGTGTGTGTGTGTACGGGTTTGGTTTGTGTGTGCGGGTTTGGTTGTGTGTGAACCTGTAATGATATGTAGTAAGTATGTTTATGCAAGTATAGGCGTTCCATAATGTTTTTGAGTTGTTACCAGCTTTACTGATCAACTCCCGCTCATATTTTATTTTAGCCTTTTTTATTATAGAGTTACAGAAGTTACGATATCTCTTATATGTAATTCGAAGCGTTTCATTATTAGGATCTTTTTTAAGTTTCTTGTTCATTTTGTCTCTGTTTTTGATGCATCTCAGAAGTCCTTGCGATATCCATGGCTTAAGAGTTTTTTTACGTCGGGTCAGGGTGATAATTATAGTGTGAGATGAAATGGCTGCTTGCAGTATTTTAATAAAGAGATTGGTTGCAGTGTTGGGGTCAGTAGAGTTTAGTACTATAGAAAAGTCGGTATTTTTTATTGTCTCTGATATATCGCTGTAGTTAACTTTATTAATTTCTTTGGGAGGGTATTTATGCGCTTGTAAATTAATGACAAGTAATACAGCATCGTGGTCAGTAACTGAAGAATTAATGACAAGAGCTTGAGCATTGTACGAGGTTTTCATGATCACGTGGTCCAGACAGGAATTTACGAGTGGGAAGAGTGTGTGCAGGTAGCAGTCCGTGATGGGCCAACGTATTTAGATATTGTTCTGCCTCTTGGTTTAATAGTGGAGCGATGTCGATATTTATATCACCCATTATAATGACATTTTTGAAACTGCTGAGCGTATCTAGAATATTGTGTAAGGATTGAATAAAGTTTTGACCGTCACGAAAAGCACAAGGTCTATATATAGCCAGTATTGCAGTTTCTGTATTAATTTTGATCATCAAGCATGATGCGTCAATAATCATATCAGGTTCTGAAACGATTACACCGGAAAGAGTATCATTAATGTAAATAATTACTCCATCATTTTGGTTTGTGGGATTAGTAGTTGAATAATAGGAGAAGCCGGTTAGATTAGGAATAGAAGGGTTGTGTTGAAGCCAGCATTCTGTAAATATAATTATGTCAAGTTGGGTGTCTAAATCGTTTAATAGTACACTAAAAGTTGAAATATTATGAGATATACTCGAATATTTTGTGTTATGATTTTTAGAGGCTTCTTGGTTTGAGAGAGTATGCTACGAACATTTCCCGGGTCACAGGTACGTGCATATGAAACTGAAACACTATCTATATTATTAATTAAATCCTGATTGGAATTGAATGTTAATGTTTGTTAGACGAAGTACATGAATTGTGTGTAGTTGTATGTATCACTATTAAATTTGTATATTGGCTATGATTATCGTATGTAAACCCATTGCATATTGTAATACAGTGTAGGTAATTTATAAAAGAGTTTATGTATACGTAAATATATGTTTTAATGAGAACAATATATATATATATGTACGAGTGCATAAGTTGTAGATTGAGACCGTTCTCCTTTGGGATATATGAGCATAACTGTCGTTTATGTATATAAGTACAACAAAGTAAGTAATAGAATATGTTGGTCCGTGTGAGTTTAAGATTATAATATATAGCACGCAAGTCCTAGCATGATTGGCACTAAGTGTAATAAAAGTCATATCGTACTGTAATTTTAAGTCGGAATTATAGTTCTGGGAAAATATAAAGCAGTAATAAAACTTTAAAAAGTTATTGGTGTGTTTTGGGAGATGTGGCATGTATGAGTAGAGTGTAAAGTGTATATTTGTGTCGACGTGTAAATTTAGTATATGTTATATGTTACAAAAAATAAGTTTAAAATAGTGTTTAAAATTAACAAGATCTGCAATATAACTAAATATGTAATGGAACTAGTTAGTTTTTTGATTTTAGTTCCGTCAGCTGAGATTCTGACATAACGACTATGAGTTTGCCGTTGTCTTCCTTGCGAAGTAAGATTCAGCGATGTATATTATACGACTGGTTAATGAAGAATCAATTGCCTTGGTGTTGAGTCTGTTAGTCGGATTATGTTTATTGTAATCTCTGAATGCCTTCAGTAATTTGTTTTTCAGTAATACTGAGTTTAAAGTAACCACGATAGTCTTATTATCCTTTTTTGACGGAAGCCGATGAATATCGTAAAAGTCCGACATATGGACCTCGACAGAAAGTGTCCTGAAAATACTTGTTGCAATATGGACTAATTCTTCTTGAGTTGTGGTTTGTTTCAGGGGTATGTTGCGTAATTCCAGGGAACTGGATCGCAGGCTGCGCTCGATATCCTCCGTGGCGGCTTCCAGTTTATTCAGCCGTTCGGCACAGGATTTTGTGATACAGCGTGATAGGTATCCAGCCGCTGTCATACATCATCGTACTTCAAAGATAGAAATTCTATTGATTTTTCAATATCAATGTTAGATGCGATTAATTCCGCATTCTGTCTCTTTATGTCGTTCATTGAGTCCTTAATATCTGACAGTTTAGTGTGTTTCTTGTCTCCATGATGTGAGGGTACTTATAAAATTGTCTAATTTTGATTCTTCTGTGGAGCTACAATCGCATCGTCTTCGTTTACTCGACCGATGAGAGATGTTACTGTCGTTCGCCATCGCAGTATTTGTGTACTCATTTAGGTTTGGGGTGGAACTGTAGTGCTTATCTTGATCATTAATCGGTGAGCGTAACATAATTATGACTATTTGTTGATGCGTAGGCCTAAATATGCCGTCGGCTCAGTAGCAAGTAGTTGCGCGGGGTGGGATGCGCGGGATGCACTTGCAGGTATGTAATGCACAGGTGATAGATAGGCTCCGCCCCTTGCGTTTGAGCAGTTATGGGTTGACCAATGACAATAATTAATTTGCGTATCTATTTAACGTATGAATTTAACCAGTTGGTGAAAAATATATTTGTTGCACTCACTTGTATAGGTGTTCTTGTCACACTTAGTATAATAAGCTCTTAGTTGTTTCTGAGTTCCTGGTACTACTGGTAACTATATTTGCGATATTAAATTAAAAATATTGAGAATAAATTGTACAAGGAGGTTATTTACGACACGTCTAAACCGCTAGACATCCGAGGAGAGAGGAATAGTATTGAATTTATATGTATGCTACTATATATGTACTATATATGTCCAAGATGACCAGATTTGACCAGTATTGTGCCTTGGGAGAGGCTTATGTCAAGCAGTGGACTGAGTGGGCTGATATTGATGATAATGATAATATATATTGTGAATTAATGATAAATGAATACAATTTACTGAATATCAACCCACTGGTTGTAAGTTAAAATGGTGATTTCATAAGTTATGTACATACTAACCCAACTCTAGTAGACGCCATGTATTTTCTATTTTCTGCAATTCTAAATTTGTTCTTGGGAGCTGGACAATCCCGTAATGGATGATCACCATCACAATTGAAGCAAATTGGACCCCGACGTTGAGGTGGAGGTGATGGTTCTCGAACAGGCACATTTGAAATTAATGATGATACCTAGAACAATAAAGAAAACACTTTTATATGTATCTTTAAAAATACATTTTCAGTTCACAGTGAAACTCATATATATATATATATATTAAGTTGGAGTTAATATTGTAACTAGTTTTATTGTTTCTTTTATAAGTATATTTCTGTTATCAAATTCATTAATAATAATATTACATAGTTCTACATTACTTTCTATTTAGTGTTCTTTTTATTATCTATCTTTATCTAGTATATATTGCATACATCCATATAATTTAGTTTTTGGTACTGTACTATTATATATAGTGTTGGACTACAATCTAGTTTTGTAACAAACTACATGCTCCTAATCATGATTGTAATATGTTTTGTGTGCTATTAAATAAATATTAATATGTATTTTCCTCAACAAACTGACTCAGCAGTACACTATCCAACGAAAATATAAAAACATCATAATGTATTTAATTTATAAATATATGATTATAAGGAGCACAATGTAGTATATAGTATATGCCATAACTAAACATTACTTAACTATCACAACTAGAAAAAGCAACATAGTTCTTTGCCACGGTCCATTTTAAGGGAATATGATTCTAATGGGAATCATATTCTTATTTTGACAAAACCAATGCCACATTTATATAGTCTTAGCCTGATAGCAAGCAATTCTCAAAGAAAAAACTAACAATCTTATTTAGATAGTATAAATTTAGCAAATTCAAACCTGTCTATACTTTGGTACTTCAGAAGGCATGTCCTCACAAGGGGCAGTATCTATAAAAAACAGATTATCTTCTGGCTCCTTTCTCTCATCAAAGTCTTCATCGACCAGGTCTTCCGGCCAGATATCTAACTCTAAGTCAGTCTCTGTGTCGGAACCTGCAAAGTTCTCTTCATCATGCAATTTTATCAAATTCAGCATGAATGTTTTTAACTGTTTCTTGTAATTCCTTGCCATTTTACTATCTCTAAATCTTATTGTGACTAAAGGTGTCCTGTTTTCGCACCCTACTACCCCTAAATCACTGTTTGAAGCAGGTGAATCTATTACTATATCCTCATTAAATATTGTAGTTTTAGAACCATCACCAGTCAACTTTTTACTATCTGTTTCATTGTCTATGTTCCGGGGGCTGAGCTCACCGTTTTTCTCCTCAAGTATTATGATGGGAGAACTTTTCCCTCCATTCTGTGGTTTTTGGGTTAGTATGTTGTTGTCATTACCATCACTCGAACAGTCAATGTTAATAACATCCGTGATACTTTGATCACTCAATAATGAAATTGTATTAATATTTTCACCGTTTTTCTTATCTATACGAGAAATTTTAGGTTCTACTACTTCCTCGTCACTACTTATTTCAATATCGTCATCTAATTCATAAATAATATCATTAACTCCTGCCTTTCGTTTAGACATAATGATTTTATTGTATTTATAGTAAAAAAAGGTCCGGTTTATTATCACAAATTAAACATGTTTGACTTATTTCAAGTCCCAAAGAACACAAACACATCTCACTTCAATACTTGAACACAACACAAGAATACACAGATGAAAAATATTAAATAAAATGCAGTGGTCAATGACCAAAAAACAATGACAACTCTAAATTACTTGCTCTATGGTATATTCCGAATAAGCCTAAGAATTGCGAATTTCATATTATGGAATATTCGGTATTGAATGCGTCGGTCGGAGAACGTAAAACGAAACGTAATTTAGATTGACGTCGAATGAAGAATTCACTGACAGCGTACGTCACTTTACTTGTTTGACTTCTGTCTATACCTACCCGCAGCATTATGTTGCTTACCTAACCTATTTTTATTTTCATGTTTTATTTTTAATACAACTCTATTAAAAAAATACAACTTATATTATTAGTCCAGGTCTATTCCAACCTTTTCAAATGTTTCTCATTTTTAGGAAAATATCCCAAAGTAATGTTAAACATGTTGTCGCCAAGAATTATGAAAATCAAGTCTTTATATTATCGTCCAGGAAATTGAGTATTGTTCCGTCTGTATATGGTAAGTTGTAATTTTTATCTGTCCACTAATGAATTATAAGAATTAATTTAGTCTAGGACCATCTTGATCAAACGAGTATATTCAACGTTTTGATTAAAAAGTTAGTCGGGCACTCCAAAAATATATCCTAAAAATATCTATCTATGCTAGTGGTACTGATTTATAGTATATTGTATTACTTTGATGTGTAAATACAGATGGAGAGAAAGATCCAGCACCTAAATTCTTTTCAACAAATGTGCAAGTACTGTTGAAACGATTGACACGACCGGATTTCGCCAAAGTATTTAGAAAAAGAAAAAACCATGATATGCCCATACTTCGCACACCCACCTACAAGTTTTTAACAAATGAAGAGCTGGAAGCAGAGATTGTAAAGGCTAATAATAAAGCAGAAAAATTGTTACAAATGCCACCTGTTGTGAAGGTACATAGTTTTTATAAAATATAAGTTTCAAAGTCATAAATAATTTAATGGGTACATAATATGTATTATTTTCAATTTATACATTAATGAATCCCAAATTGTTGTAAAGTTTTCAATAGATAGAATAAATAATTGCTGTTTAGTAATTAGGCCTCTTTGTCTTATTTATTATTATTATTATTATATATTTTTATCATACATTATACATAATTTATATAATTATGTTGTAACTGTATTTTCTATGAGAGAGACAATAAAGAGTTTAATTGTTTAACTTTCTGTGTGAAATTTTTGCTAATGTGTTGCTTTTGGCTTTAACAAACATTGTTATTTTCTTAATGAATGGTCATATAAATCTGCCTGTCCTTATGGTATATGCTGGCAGGGTAATATTACTTATTACTAGTGGAGGATGATAGAATAAGAAATAAAGTGAACTGACCTAAGTTGACTTATTGTACCAAATTCATCTGGAATTAACACCTAGGATTTTCGGAGATAGTTCTCCATTATTAATATTTCTCTACCATCCATAATTGGATTAATGCACATATTTATTTACCATTTCAAAATCAGTTAAAATATTTTATGTAAAATATGTTTGTATATCAGTGTAGAGTATCTATATATATATATATATGTATCAGTATAGAGAGATTATGATTAAATACTATGAGGGAAGTTACCTCTGAACTTGCCTCACATTAACAGAGTAACTATAGTGGTGCCCAAGTAAACAACATAGTATTATTGATTAACAAAATATATTTAATACAATACATAATAATATAGATAAGTTACATCAATATGACGACAGACAAGATGACACACACTCTTATTTCAAATATACTTCGTCTGCAATACCAGCCAGTCTAGTCATCGATTGCCAACCTCATTCTAACAAATGCTAATTTTTTGATACATTAGGTGATTAAATTAATTAATTCCTTACAGACAAACCAACCAATTAATGATGTATTGTCTGAAGATCCAGCACTAGTTGGTTATGACACAGCAAAGTATCTATTTACAGATATCACATTTGGTGTTGCCAATGAGCACAGAATTATTGTAGAAAGGTACATTTAAATTTATTTACAGATACATTGTACATAGTAATAGAAGATGTCCTAAATATTTCATTAATTAAATTATAGAATGACAAATAAGCTGAACTTGATGTCAATGATTTTGACTTTAATGTAAGTTACTTAGTGTAAGTAATATATATTTTTATGTATCAGGTACATAAATAAGGGTGATTATTAGGCATCTTCTTTTTTCTTCTATGGAAATTAGTCATTATTTTTACAACCATTTATGCCAGCATCACATATGAGAGGCACACACTAGAGACAGAAAGTACATCCAAACATCAAATAATTTTAGTATTTTTATGGTGTAGACCATATACTTATATAATACTTAGTATCATTTATCAATGACAGTTGACAATCTGTCTTTCCAGAATATTTCAGAATATGGAAACTGTCAGTGCTAGTTACCACTTGGTGCCACTCATAAAAAGTACTTTTTTATGTAATTAGAATAGCAACCAGCAAATGCCCTCCAAAGTTAAGCAAAGCCAATGGCACCGTCAGGCACCATCACACTTGTGATACCACTTATACATTGCCATTACAGAGGTTTTCCTGCATCTTGTCCCGTAATTTTACTACATTACAACCAAAACACTGCTTACAAAATAAGCTGCTTGCCAGCTGAAATACATTACTTATAGACAACTTTACACTCTGTCTCTGGTAATGTACCTGTAGTCTGTGAAAATACAACATATGGTACCTTATTTCATAGTTTGGCTATTTGATACTTTGTTCTGTAATGTTTTTAATATTATTTAACCTAATAAAAATAAACATTACAGGGATCCTGATGGCATACTTCGCAGCTGTGATTATGACTTACGAAAAAGGTTGAATCAGGTAAATGTTTTATATTTTACATTTACATTTTATAAATTTGAATAGGAGCACTGTCTATAAATTAATTACTTTATAAAAATATTCCACATCCTATTTTTTTTGACCTCCATATCATAAGTACTTATGTTGCAGGTCAAATTGTCAAAATAATTTTTGGAATTTGCATTTGTGCAAGCTAATCTCAGTAACAAATTGACCCAATTAAATGCGGTTTATACTTATATAGGTGCCCTAATAAATTATCTTTAATATTTTGTTTGGTTCATCATTCATCAATTGGTTCACGAATATAAAAATAATACCTATTCTTGTTCCGATTGCTTGGCAATATGGAGTTTGCATCGTGCGACGAATCGAACCCAAAAAAAACAGCGTGCTAAAATGCTAGACTGCCAAGACAGTCGTCTAAGAAACATCTATCTTTCCAGGTTTACTTTCCAATTCAAGGACGTAAAATAAGAGAGCCACAGATGTTTACTGATACTGAGAAACTGAACAGTCTGCTCGAAAGACAGGAGTACGAGTTTATATTAGATAGAGCCTGTTTACAATATGAACCAGATGAATTTTCATACCAGAAAGTCACAAGTATTACATACCAACATGTTGATATGAATACTAATTACAGCTTATTAAGGTATTTTTTTTTCATATATCCACACTATTGTTATCATTTTAATTATAATAATAATCCTGGACAATTCACACAGTACCATCCAGTCCAAGCTAAGCAGAGCTTGTGTTATGAGTACTAGAGAACTGATAGATATACTTAGATTTTTTTTGTAAATACACACATAATGTACAGAGTATACCCAGATCAATACAAGAAAATATACTCATGAACACAAATATTTGTACTGTATAAGGAATAGAATCAGCGACCATCAAAAGCATAGTGGTTTCTTAATCGCCAGACCGTGTTAAGATAGATTTAATAAATAAATCTGATCTATTTTTCAATTCCTCAGGTCCACAAGACACTTTGGTCCTATGACATTCTACTTGACGTGGCATTCTAATATTGATAATCTCATGCTGGAGTTACTACAATCGGGGGCAATCAGAGAAGCAGTTTTACTAGTAGCATTACGACATGAGATTCTAACTGATATAACCAATGGCGATAAGTTACAAGCTATTGTACAACAGGTAAGTTATCACAATTAAAGTAGATAGTTTGTTTTTTATATTGGCTCTACATGTAATCGCAACGCTACAGGCGACATCTTTTTAAACTTTATTAATATTATGGATCTTTAAATTTTTCGCTAATAGTTCCAATTTTGTGTTTTGTTACGTAGATATATTAGATTCTATGTGACGTTATGAAGTTTAATACCTTCGCATCCCACACTTGATGATGCCTCGTTCAGAGTCGAAGCAGGTGTATCAATATGGGTATAAATCCAATAATGGGGAGGCTGGTCATTAATAGAGAAGGTTACGCTTCCAGTGGTGACGATAGGTTTTCACACTGTATAATCGAGGTCTCACACATGTTAATATTAGCGAAAGTAAAAAATAACATAAATCCATTACGTATCACAACAACCCTAGTTCTCAATGATATATATGTGAACACTACGAACATCTTTGTGTATGTTGTGATTTCAGTTACCAGTTTTTTGAGAAAATTGTTACCTCACGTGTAACCTCATTTATTTCATTTATAACCTACATTTCAGATCCTACCGACGCCAGTGCAATTAACAAAGCCAGAATGTCTCACAGAAGAAGACATTCAGTTGGACAACAAGTGTGTGGAGTGCATAGAGAAATACGTCTTGACCAATTCTGCTATGAAGAGTCAGCATGAGCTGGCACTGCAAGGTTTCAGAGAATACTATCAGCATCTGATCGAGTTAAGCCGGGGCTTACAAATAGCCCACGGGAAAGCCTCAAATTAAATAAATGTTAATAGATTTGTTTCAGGGACTAAAATTAAAACTCGTCCTATTAAATATTATAAGTAGAATAATAAATTAATCATAATAAATACGTTGTTATCAATTTTTTCCCATTGAAGGCCGTCGGTTTTGATAAAACGATTATGTGATGAAAAATCTTCGCAAAAAAGGTCGTATAATATTTTTAATAAACGTTGTGTCACTTGCCAACCTGACATTTATTTTATTATATATGCATGTATATATACCTATATTTTAGAATTATATAAAAAAGAATAATGCCATTTTATCGGAAGCCGCGGAGTTTTACACCGCATTCATTAGTGGCGGAGAAGAAGGCAATTAAAAATGGTGTCCATCATGCCATATTTACATCTAGATTTGATAAGTATGTTGGTGATTGGAATAATGATTTAAAACAAGGTATGATATGGTTATCTCTCTCTTATAATTGTTATAGCAGTGTGGAAATAACATAATTCTCAATAAAGTTGTGTAGTTTAAAATATAGCTATAAGATGCGGTGTTCAGGTGATCAAATCGTTGCGATGTAGATGAAATGAAATGAAATTTTATTGATCCAAGAAAGATATAATGCATATGAGATTTGTTCATGCTTCACCATGCGTCGCACAAGTAATAGTCCGATTTTCGTTCGGAAGGAACGCATTGCACAAACTTTAAAAATTAGCAAACTTGACCGTTTTTTGTAAATATTTATAAATTATATATAATCCCAACAGGACAATAAATACCTACTATACGCAAATATTATTATCACTTTACAACTGTAAAGGTGGGTATTTGTGTATGCACCAGGGGTAGCAAGCAATGGTCTGTGTGAAAGTAAACAGGTATTACATTCTATGTACGTACGAGTTCCTTTTCCGGTTTACATCTCGCTTATCACCACCGTTGGAACTCGACAAATGCTACAGTGACTTACTGGCGGGCCGTATGCTTAACCGCAACTTTTGGTATAAAAGGTAATTATGAATTTTAAATAATTAATGACGTTTTTAAATAAATTTTCAGGAAAAGGTCTGTTCCTGACCTATAACGGTAGATTGTATGAAGGAGACTGGTATAAAGGTTTCAGGTAAGAAAATATGCGAAGACTATGATGCCAACCATTATAATTATATTATCGATACAATTAATATAATTAGATCACTATTATTATTTTTGCTGAATAGAACCTACATATAGTCTAACCAGAGGGAACTGAGATTTAATATAAAGTTTAATCCATTTGTTTTCCATTCCCAAATCCATTTGTCCACTGGGTTTTGACTCTTGTACGTACGTACGTATATGTACATATCACTGTATAACTATAATATTAATATGCAGCTTTTTTACATACTGTATTCAGGTTTGAAAGTTGCAGATATGGCAGTAAAATTATTGCACGTAAGGAGGTGTTAGTTAGTCCTTGTTATACTAGTTAATAAGCAATTCTTAAAGGATACTTATTTGAGGTCAGTTAGTTTCTTGCATTATCAACGTAGCAAGTTCATTAGGAATTAACCAAAGGAACAGCGTGGAGGTCTATCTGATAGGATGCCTGATTATTTTAACCATGTCTTTATTAGACACGGTTATGGGACTCTTAGCAATACTCAAACAAATGGCACATTGAGCCTGGAGTACCGTGGCGAATGGGTTCGAGGCAAGCCCGAAGGCATCGGGTGGAGGTATTATGCAAATGGAGACGTATATTTCGGACACTGGAAGAGAGGAATGCACCATGGATATGGTAAAATGTGGTATGGTAACGGTACCTACTATGTTGGATATTGGAACATGCACAAGAAGAAAGGTCTGGGCATGTTTGTTCAAGGTAACAGAGTGGGTTCATATAAAAATAAGTTCTCTACGTGTACAATATACGAATACGGATATAATAATAATATGTGTGTGGCTAAAAGAACAAAGAAAGGCCGAAAAACAGATTGATGGACTGTATGAAAGATAATATGGCAAGAAAAGTAGTCAAATCAATGGAAGATAAAAACATTACGCTGACCCTAAATGAATGGGAGAAGCAGATGATGACGTTCTCTACGGGTCTGTACTGCGTCTGTAGTACAATTAAGATGTAGATAAATAGGATTCTTTATTATAATTATAGTAATACTTAATAAGGAATATAAAACGAACGATTACATATGTATAATGCTGAATCATGTCGCTAACCAAACTGTTCTACTGAAACAATGATATAGTAAATAGTTTTACTAAGTAATATTCTCTTATCTGTGGTTTTGTCAATAACCACAAAATGATATTCGTTATGTTATTAGCATACGACACCATTTAGCATTATGCAGCGATTTATGAATATAAATTCCCTATTTTCTCGTAGTTTCATACTGTGAACATATGTAATTTTACTTTAGAAGATCTGTTTTATTCTTCTTCTACTTAAATTTATAAACATAATGCTTGTGAATTTTTTGGTATCAAGATAATCTCAAATCGCCACTAAATAAACTATACACTTGCCACCGAGTGTGCTTAGTTTTCAATTTGTTTAATTTACTACTTTGGATAAATTGATATATAAGTACCTATACATTTCTTTTGATTTATTTATTACTCTTAGATAATACCTACTCAATGCATATTTCAATAGTCAACAGTAACCGTTACGAAGGCCACTGGGAGAAAAATGTCAAGAGTGGGCTCGGACGTTTTTACCATATGCACACAGGCCAGCTGCAGGAGGGATGCTGGGTGAATGATGTGTGCGTAAAGTCTAAAATGTCCGACATCATAACGAGGCAGTTCTGTGACTTACCGACAGAATGTCCCATACCGCCGGTAATGTATTGTGGTGAATCCATTTAAAAACATGTTTTTATACATTTTTTAAATAAAACTTTAATGCACAAATTCAAAAAAAGGTGCACATGACGTACTTAACTCCTTGAGACATTTTCTCCCAGTCAACCTAGAGCAAAGAAAGATTCATGTGGACGGTGCTTAAGTTACCTATGTAAATGAAAAGATACTTAGTATCTGAGTACCTAAATACACATAGGGCTGCATATGCTGCACATTGTGTACATATAATCCATAATAAATAAATATACATATATTACTTGATATCTTCCGTTTTAAAGAGTTTATGTATTTGTCAATTTTAGGAGGAGTTACGGGATTCCAGTGAAATTTTGGAAAAAAGTAAATTGTGGCTCTCTCAGAAGATTGGTAATATAGATAAACAACTGCAATATTGTATTGACCAAATGTATTAAATTTACAATGAATAACAGATCATTATGTATAAATAGACAGGGTACATACTATAAATCTACAGGCTGACTTATAACGAATAGGGATCAAAGAAAATAGATGAAATTTTTTCTATAGAATTTAAACTTATAGCATTATCAAGTTAGTATTGTAGTAGTATGTAAAAACTACTTCTATGATATCATAGAAAGAGTTTATATTACTCTACGACAGTTATCAAACAGAATTCAAGAATCTATTTTATGCAGTTTCGATCCCGTCTCGTCATATCAGGTTATTGTTATATATAAAAATTTTACTATACATTTTTCGTATCATACATAAAATCTTATCCTAAACATTATATTAAACATTACATGTCATTATTATATCACAGAGTACTTATTTTATTAAGTAACGTACACAGTCAATATCTTATTATTGCTCGTTAATATTACGATAATGGGATTGATTATGACAGACAAATTGCATACTAAACATAAAAACATAAACTTCATTATTATATACGAAATTTCATTATTGTTCCGACTTTGCAAAAGATTGTGCTATATATAAATCTACGTTCCTATTTACATTTATCATTTATGTTACCTGTTGCATTTTGTTTATATCAGTATATTTGAATGTAATTAAATTTACAATCCATAACGTATATTCTTCTATAACTAAGTACCTATTAATATATCTTCTATATTATATTATATTACATATTATACGTAATAATATGAGCATAATTTTTCGCTGCCGAGCAACTGAAGACTAATGTATTCAGTTCAACTATTGCTTTATGCTCTTGTTATATTTTTAATGTATAATAATTACATTTTACAGATTTTCATTAAATTCAATATAATATTTAAGTAGGTATACTAAAAAATCGGTATTATTTTCAATGTCAAAATGCAACAAAATAGTTGTATATAATAAATTGGCGGAAAATGTCTAAATTTACTGTCTATGGAGAAGTCTATTAAAGAAGTTTATTCTCGAACAATATTCAAATTTCAATAAGGATAATAATAATATTAATATATTTATAACTGATCGAAGCTTAAACTACGGTATATATACCGTAGTTTAAGCTTTTATATAAATAACACATGTAGACACTGAAATTTATTTATATCAGAGATTCATTTGTCATGCTTATATTATAGTATGGTGTTCTACAATAATTATCTTAGAATATATTACTAAAACAAGTTGACCATTGACGTCAGATTTAGCTATGATAGATAAAACTATATTAACTGATAAGCTACCTATTGCTGTTTTGTAAACGGTGGCAAAATTATTTATGTTCACATAAAGAAAATACACTTAATTTGTACAATATTTAATGTACACAGGAGACAGATATAGACAAACAAAACGCGCACCGAACAGTAAGCGGTAAAGGCATGAATCGCACTATGCACAACACAGATCATGTTATCATGTGACACCCATGATAGTAGTGGCATGAGTAGGCATGCCATTCCAAAGGGCTAATGTCATGCATATTAGTCTGTAGTTTCAATTTATAAACGCACTACTCTACAATAGAAACGCAGCTTACAATGCAAACTGCATACCTAATGAAATAGATGAGACGACTTTTTACAGATTTCGATATATGAAACAGTCACTTTTTTTGTACATTTCCTTGTTCCATGTATCTGTCGCTGAGTAGCTTTAAAGATACAGTGTAAATTTTAATATAAATGATATGACATCAAATTGCTGGCTACGCAGACAACGCCTTAAATCTTACAAATAGCAATACGTGTTGATACCACGGATGTCAAAAGGTATTTTGTCATGTACGTGATGTTTATCTCCATAGACGATGGTTACACTCAGCCTATCTTAGCCTAGTGGTATCAATCAATTAGACAATCCGGTTCATATACAAAAACTGATGATTGTCTCTATTTAAATCTGTTGATATATATCCTCCAGGATCTTGACAAGATTAATTCATAAAACGCAACTTATCTAAACTAAATCGGACGTCCATATCGTCTTATCACTAAGAACTCTCCGTGTAAACAGGGCACTGTACGAAATGGGAAAATGTCCATTAATTGGCACTTATGAGATAACATGATAAGTACAGTTTTATCGGATAAGTACTTACGCATAAAATATATGATTGTTTACATAGGAAAAAATGTAGTATCGCATCTATGGCAGAGTAATAACGAAAAATATAAGATGTTTATTAATTTATTTATGTTACATATGTTTTTATATTAAACCAGGTCGCTAGAATGTTTCGTTATTTAATGACTTGTCAATGCCTATGTACACTCCAAATTGTAATATCGGACCTAAACACAACACACAGCAGGCCTGTTGGAAATTGTTAACATCAAATAAATATGTGACATGTTAGAAAGTGACTGTATGTCTGTTCTGCTTATACAGTTTAGTCTTATAATCTATGAAGTTGTCTCTATACTTGCTCTGTACCATATAGCTCTTATGGTGATGTACTATGTGTATCTTTTTATAATAAAAATCGCATTATTAAAAAGCTATCCTTGTATGTATTAATTGACTCTAGTAGGTTATGAAGCCCAGGGCACTGTCTCAGCCTAAATATAAAATAATTCTCGTTGTTACGAAGCTATTATTACTAGCATGTGAACCGAAGAACTTGAGTAACAATCGGCATAATGTCCGGAGCCGACCCCGACTCAAGTGCAAGCTTAAATTCTACATCATTACCAAAACTGTAAGGTAGTCTAGATTACCATAATTGGAAATTCGCTATGGATACACGAAATATCTATGTGAATGTGTAGAATATGAAGACAGATGCAAGTATGTTCTTTCAATACACTGTTCTTCGTATCCTTATGTCAGATGTGAGAGTGTTATTATTAGTGTAGTTGGTCGTTGCTTAAAAACATTACGAACCACTGCTCCATACTGGTTTATGTAAATTACTTAAAATATATTATTTTGTCACGACTCTACTACACGAACTGAATAACGTGAACAGTAAAAAATTAATGTGAATAACAATTTACTTTATCTTTCCACAACCCGATATCACAATTTGTAATGACATATTCAATATCGACACCTCTTGGATGGGCAGATCATAATGAAATTAGCATAATACAATCCAATATTATTGATGAAATTTATCATAATCACAAATGGTATAATTTTACTACGGGGTTATTAATCGTAAGAGATACATTTGGTTGCAAATCTCTGTCTATATTCAAAGAAAACGTCAAAAAGTTTGTTTATAAACAATTTATAAAAATGTAGGCACTTATGAGTTTTATATTAGATTTATGATTATTATTATGACATTACCATAAATCCAATATGGCTATGTGACTATATGATGACCAAATGTTCATAATGTACTAATATCACTCATATTGTCTGTCAATGAATCGTCTAAATCAGTCTGTAATAGTAACAAACAGGCACAGCCATTTTTACTTCATCAGCTCAATTTTTTAATATAACTTATAATAGTAATAATCCAAGTAAGACGTCGTTATTTGAGCCACAGATACGACACTAAAAGCTACAGTAACATTCCGAAAAAAAAAACATGAATAAACATTAATCAGACAATACGACTCTGATCTAACAATGTTAGATTGTTCATTCTCGAGTCCTGATCACCCATTTCGATCTGTTCCTTTAACAATTCCAACTCCTTTATCCCGGTCACTGTTACTTCGTATTTATGTGTCGCTAAGGACATATAAAAGTGTATTGCAAACGCTAAGAACACAATCATAACAGGTATTAGCACCACGCAGGCCGACCACGCGGCAGTTGCGCTCAGATCATAAAACTTCACCCAGCAAAGTATAGCTATTTCTATGAGAAAAAGTATAAGCCCTAGAAGTGTTGAGAAGGCCCATGCGATTTCTATGTACCAATGTAATCGTTCGTGGGGTGATTCGTGGACGAGAGAGATGCTGTGGAGATTACCGACTGCTTCTATGTTGGGCAGAATGCATGTGCTTATCATGAGAGCGAGCATATGCACGGCGACGAGAAGAGTCGTGCATACAGTAAAGGCAACTAACATTTCGGTGGGCACGGCGGTGGCATTTGGTGGATTAAGCTGCACTTCAACCATGGCTACCTGTAGACAAGTCAAAGTAAATTGGTAAGGAGAGAAAGTAAAATATTACTAACTAGTAACCACACAATTAAAGTCAGTAAAATCAGCTTTAGTTTATATATTGTCAGAATCAGTTACAATAAGTACCTACTAAGTACTACTAACGTATACTTGATATACCCCTGGCCCTACTGCAAAAGAAAAATATCTCAAATTCTAGACTCTGTTACTATATGGCGTACTCTTATTTTATGGCGTTTAACTATATAAGATTTTTTTTATACACAACTAATTTCTAATGTAAGAAGATTTCTGGTTTCCTTTGCCTTGTTTTTAAATACTATAAAAATAACATAAAAAGTCTTAAATTATAATAATTACCATTGCAAATCCCGAAAGTAACGCCGAAGTCTTGCTGGATGCTTTCAACTTGGCGCGGCTGAGCTGCAACTTGCGCCAGGAGAGATATGCTGGCGTGTGCAGCCCCTCGGCCGACTGGATCGGCGTCTCGCCCGACATCAGGCACTTGTGCTGGAAACGTGTCGAAATAACAGTAACAAACTATGAAACGTTAATCCAAAATACATCTATATACATATAATAAAAATGTATTTCACTCACTGACTATGGTACATAGAACAAAATTATCGGAAAACTTATAATTGGAGAATTTTACAAAATCACAGAACCCGAAAATATTTTTTCTGTTTGTCTATGAGTTTATGCGCGCTAATCTTATAATGGTATGCTTTACCTAAAATTTTGTTTGTTTTATTAATTTACAAACTTTTCTGTTCATGAACTCATTTGAACAAAACAAACAAATTGTAGGTCAAAATCCAGACGGATAAGAAGTCAAGGCTTAGCTAGTATATAATAAGGAGTTTATATTCATATTATAACTATGAATTCCTTTTCCTATTTGAATATCACATAAAACTATACAAATAATATTAAAGTATCTGTTTGTAATTTCAAATTAATAGCTGTTCACTAAATGCATGTGAGAGTAGAAACGGCAATTACATAAAAGAAATAATTTTTAATATTTTCGCCTGCTTTTTCTTGGTAATAATGGAAATGGCTTTTCAGATGTTGATCAGAACTTCACTAGCAGCTAACTAATGTTATAAGTAACTCATGCTATTTTATTTTAATAATAAAAAAAGTTTAGCTCTACACGGACAAAGTCTTAGCTACTGTTATATAATTGTATAGCACTCATAATTTTTGTTATTTTACTCAATATAATCATAAAGTTTCTTACAATAATGAAATTTTCTCACACAATTTATATGATGCAAAATTTTAACTTACTACACAACACTGAAACACTGAATGCTGCAAAGACTTAAACACTAAACATTAAATTGGTTCTTGTATGGCAATCCCTTTAAATAAACCCAATATAAGGGACCATCCCAAGACTAGATGATGTATACAACCACAAATGTATTGCAGGGTCAAAAGAAGTATGAGCTTAATATTAAGTCATCATATAAGGACCCTTTTGTATGGTAATGTCCCAAACATTCTAAAAAATTGCCTATATTGAATGGTTTATTTGGAGACTTTCTCCTTGCCTATGTAGAGTAATTACCGTAAAGGGAAACTCCATGTGATCATGAGAGCACCAACTAATGCAGAATCATTGTAAATTTATGGGTGTATGTTAGTATATTATGCCTATTAGTACAGAATAGTGACATGCAGATAAATTGTGTGTGCACTTAATAAGGTTAAAATGAAAAAATGTGTATATCTACTTGGTGATATCCAAGACTGAAATTGAACTTAATATGTTTAGTGAACCCTGTAGACATATGTCTAAGCATTCCCGGCTGACTCTTGTTAGCAATTAATGTGAAATATTAGTGTGTATTATCAGTGAATAATGTATATATATATATATAAAATATAAAAAAAAATATAATTATAAAATCTAATTAAATCATATTTATGGATAAATTATAATAATGTAGCTAACATTATTATGACTCTTATATACCTCCATGGAAGCTATAATTGTAACAAGCACACAAGATAAGGTAAGAGTGCTAATACTAATATTGTGGAATTAAACATGATTAATCAGATAGTAGATACTAATACTTCAAATATTTGAACCAAGCGCTGGATTAAAGCAATCTGTAATTTAATTTTTATAGTATGTTTCAAATGTGATATGAATGGACAGCATATGAAACCCATTGCCCTGCGACCATTACTTGTAACTCACTGTTTGCTATAATAGATGAGACGAGTCTCCCGCAGTTCAATTACAAAGCCAAATTGGATGATTTTGTAAGGTCTGTCATCAATACAGCTATAGTGAAGAGAACAAAATGAAGGTAATTAAAAAATATGTGCAAATATAATCTGAATAATACAGATTTAAAAAAAAGCAATAAAATTTCTATTAAAAAAAATAATTAAAGCTAGAATGTGTAATAATTTGTTGCTTCATGTAATTTTATATTTGTATACCAAAATAAAATATAATTATTTTATTTTGGTATACAGTTGAGTATAATTACAATAGTTTAAGACATTTATATATTGGGTTTAAATAATTTAAATAGTAAGTTGTGGCATACTGTATTTAACAAAATTTAATAACAATTATTATTAAAAGTAATCACATAACACTAAAGAAATATACTCACAACAGAACCAACAATAATTCAATTCTAATTTATTAACAATTATTGTGATACCTTAGCACTTTTAAAAGTCTTGTAAAAAACAACATCTCTATTCTACATGCAATGACAAATTAATATTCAACAAAGATTGTGACTGCTTAACATGATAACAATTCGTGAAGTAGGTCAAGAATCTGTAATGTTGGAAAAGGAAAAAAGTAGTTTTCATTCTGCTATAGAATTATTATCTTCATGAACACAGTCCATAAAATTTAGTGTGTAATAAGACTATATAGGTTAGTCGATGTTTTCAATAATGTTCAAAAAGAAAAGGTGCATTAAAAATATCATTCATAAAATGAAAAGGTAATGTCAAACAATAATTATGCAGGTGTTTTGTGTCGTATTAATTATACCTAATTACGAAAATAACATCAAGCAGCATGAACACAAAATTGAATAATTAAACCTGATTATCAAAGTGTACAAACTGGTATACAAAAAATATATACTGCAAGTTAGATTACCTTACTCAGTTTTGGACACCAATTATTATGTTGATTGTAACGACCGCCTGAGTTTATGCAGTGGCAATTATTTCCAACAGTACTGGCTGACCAAACCGACATACCTAGACAATTTGCACGATAGTCCTTGGTTTGTTCGACGACGAGGTCAATAAGCCGTCAATTTTTTCACTAGATCTCCATGTTTTGTGTTGTACTAACGACGACGTAGGAAGCTTAAATATATTTACGATGTAAATGAACAAAATCGAATATATTCTCAAATACAAAAATTACTTTACTTGTATGCCATTGTTTTTAAACACAATAAAATACAAGAAAAATTATTAGAATGAAAAAAATATGAATGAAATGAAAGATGTTAGACGGTCCTAACATTGACATTTTGACTGACTGCGCACAATAGTAATGTCATTCACGATCATTCTATCAAAGGACAACGGTCAGTAAGACCACAGAATGTATAAGTATTCCATAGACAAATAGAATAAATTTGAAACCCTGAAGCCAGAGGGTATATTTCGAAACTAAGACAAGTTACTAAAAAAAATTACTGTTTATCCTTATTTCACTATAATTTAAATGAATTTTATAAATATTATGTGAAATTTATAAATACTATATAGGAAGTTATAAATTAAGAATTTGCCCACCTATTAATTTACTTATAATTACATCGTTCTGGAGATATATCGATATTTGCCTATTTTGTAAGAGCTTTATGCTAATCGGTGTTGTTTACAATCTTTCTATATCTTCTACAGGTCTTTTAACTCTCCTGTAAATAAATAATTACACTAAATTAATTCCCATTACTGTATAGTTACGTTTGGTATATATCCGAACGTCCAAGTAAAAGGGATAGAAATATATAACCACCTCATTTTTGTAACGGTACTGCGTCTGTACGGGAGTGTCCAACTGTTGTTTGGCGAACTGGCGAATGAGGATGATAAGCGAGTGACAAGTGGACGATTTGTTCGCATAGTGTATAATGTAGGTCGGACTGAAGTAGTTTGTTTTGGTTAATTATTAATATTACTTGTGAATTGTCAAGTACGTGAACGATCGTACAGCTTATCCTGTGCTAAATTTCATGTCGGAAACGAAGATACTGTGACAGTAAACAGTTTGTTCTCAACATTCAGTGATAAGTTACTTTGAAGCGTCACGATGGCTGAGGCTGCAGGTGCTACTAGCACCAATCCCAATGCTGAGATCGTCCGAGGGCAAGTGTTTGAAGTTGGCCCTCGTTACACTAACTTGCAGTATATAGGAGAAGGAGCTTACGGCATGGTTGTGTGAGTATTCACCAGTAGACCTTGAATAGATTCTATAAACAGTACATTTATAATAGAAATATGACATTATAAAATGCAATTTCATTATAAATGTATCTACATACAAGAATCCAGATGACTGGTTTCGCTTGCTGGTAGCATTATTGTAACAATTTTTTTTTACTGATACTCATTAGGTAGATATAAATATAGTAACAATATATTTAATGAAGACTACCCTACACTATGTTCTGTACAAGTATGAAAATGTATTTCATATTCCTACATTGATCAATTTACATACAGAAATGATGAACTTGGAACTTATTATATGTATAGCCCAGGTTCCGAGATATATTGTACTTAAACTAACTTATTTATCTACAATCTGGAAGATTTTGTTTATATTAATCTCAGTCCCCAAGTGAGATGCAACTAACATTTCTGTTTATTTATTGTTATTTAATAATTATAAGCAATATTAATGTGTCAAGTTCTTTTATTAATATTTTCCTCAAGTTTGTTTTTGACAAATGTCTTTCACACCTATTTTATTATTATATTATATATTTTCATAAGAATACAATATTAATAATACTTGTGTTATTATTATCAATCAATTACAATATAAAACATTTCCTGACATCTTTTAAAATAAGTACTTAAGCTTTATTTCATTAATCCTATTTCTTTTATTAATAAAGACTCATCAACTGCTTCCTTTGCAGTATTTTGCATGCATAAGATGTTTTTTTACCCTATATGATATCAATACTAGTCAAATATAATTTTAATTGAGTATTATTAGTTGTTGGAAATCTGTATATTATACAGAGACTCACTGAAGATGCAATTGTTAATTACGTAAATATATTTATAATTTCCTTGTACTAGACCATTTATAATAATATTATATAATAATTATTTTTACCACAAATAAATTTTAACAAATTGCCAAGTTCATTCTGTGACATACATACATTTAAAAAAATTTATTGAAATTAAGTCCTAATCATCTAACATATTCCATTGTACATATGTACCACTAATGTGTATTTGCAGAAAATATAAAAAAAAAATAGGATAAAATAGAAAAAGAAGAAAAAAGATACCCCATTGTGTAAAGTTGATTAAGTAAGTAAAATTAGATCTCAAATTAGGAAGAGATTTAAAAAAAAACCAGTCGGACCAGGAACTAATTGATTCACGAGCACTGCCACAATAGCAACTAATTATATATATAGTATAACATACATCTGTATATAAATAAACATTGTTATAATGTAATTAATTCCATAAATATATCAGTGTGAAAGAAATACTTTCAACCATAATTATCATAACAGGTAAAGGAAAACCAGGTTAATGCTATACTGTGGCAAGCAGACTCTTGACTACACTATTATAAAATCATTGATTTATTAATGACCTCAATATAAACTCACAACTTTGTTTGGTACATGTATAATTATTTAAGATGATTTATAAAATATGTACAGGTGTGAGAAGAAATTGTCTACATTGTCTATTGACCCACATTGATGCATTATTTAAAGCTTTGCCCGGCATATACATATTTTGCATATTCATTATTAGAAAAAAAAAATATTTTCTTATGTCAAAGTAGACTATATTTTTTCATCCTATACCACCTATACTATTCAGCATGTTTCATGATGATTGTTAGACCCATAAAAGCCAAGAGGTAATTTTGAAATAAGTTTGTGTAATTAATACACAACCTCACTTTGACATTTACAATATTAGAATTTCATTAACAAAAACTTTTCAGTAGGTAACAGTTGTCAATGGGCATTCGTATCGTTTGATAGACATTACCTATATTTATATTGCAAACGGGGCATATAAATTGCGAAAATATCTTCGGATATTGGACGTGGATATGAGGACGGACATCGGATACGCATATTCGTTGACATTTACAGGCATCCATCTCGTATACATTCCGGTCACGTAGCGTCTCATCCCCTACACATATAATCTTCCCATAGCGAGATCTATTGTTTTCCTAATATAGGTATTATTAATAATAGCTATATGTTTTTGTTATCGTGTAGATTCGCCGTACCACCAACCTCAACATAGGTCGGTAATTATTAGAACTTTTTTTATTTATGTATCGCCTCGGGATGCTTTATTGTAACGTACACCAGCGTAGGTACCTGGATTATTTCTTTTTATGTGATTTTGCAAAAAAGGTTTCAATTATTAACCAACCTTAAAAATGAAGTTGTTCTTTTTCGTGTTTATTCTTGTCCTCATCACGCTAATTTTATCATAATTAAAGTTGGTTTGTTTTTGTGGAACAATACAGAATAGTTTATCACTGAGTACTAAGATGGTATGATATTGCAGTTTTGCGTCAGAGATTAGAAATTAAAACAGTGAGTAATATGTTCATTCCAAGAAAAGTAAAATAATAATTAATATTCGTTTCTTCTGTAGGTAAAAACTATCCGGTAAAATATTATTTTTTAAATAGATATATGAAAATTTGCTAACACTGTGAAAGTTGAGTCATCAGTTTGATTGATTGATCCTTGGGATACGGACGTTATCTTTTTTCCTGTGATAATTTTTAAGAATCCAAGTGGATGCTTTTATTGCATAAGGAATAATGTAGATTATATATGATACATTATACTGAGCCCATGTAATTAATATGTAGTTAGTTACATTGGTTAGATCAATTTCTGCTTTGATGTAATGGTAAATATTAACAGTAAACTACTTACCTACTTTTAACATTTAGATACTGTAGCCATTATTTCACAGAGTCATCATATCTTTATTTATTATAACCTAATATTTTCTGCGAGTAACATATGTAGTTAATCCATATAAAAACAGATATTCAGTGCCATCTGCACTCGTACGGTGAAGCTGTAAAGGCCAGGTGCGGCCAATAAAATGCATTAGAATAGTTCGCAAAAAAAATGTATAAAAGTTCGAATTCTGTGAGGATCGAACATGCAATCAGGCATATGAGGCTGTTGGGATAGCTGAAGTAAATATAAATCTATGTAGGTATATATAGATACTCAAATTGTTATAATATCTTTATTGTGTTTTATTAGGAGTTATTTATTATGAATTTTGACTGTTTATTGGTAAGATGAAACATATATCATACTAGTCCAATGTGTTGTGTCGCAAATGTATCCTTTGCACAAATATGATTATAGTTGATATGCGAATTTGACGTCACAATGTCCTTCTCCCGATGACAAAAACCTTTGCTTAATCTTATTTTTATCTCATTGTTAGTCAAATGATTAAATTATAAGATAATTGTTAAGATTCTATGTCATTTCAGATATATATTATAGAGACACTCGACTCAAAATATGTAGCATACGTCACGTAGATTAAAATTAGCTTTGAATTTTAGGACTAAAGCTCTTCCGATCGATCCCCCGCCCAAATCAAACGGGGATCGCAATAGCGGTGCCCTCAGACAAACGTCGTATCCGTCAGGCGGGAGATGTATCCTTCAGCCACTCCATAAGTCATTTCGCGTTTTAATGTGCCATCTGCACTATCGTCCGGTGAAGCTGTAAAGGCAGTAAGCTGCGGCAAACAGCTATAGAGTAGGGCGAAAAATTTTTTTTAATAATATCTGTCTTCACACTTTACCTATCGGAGTAGATATAAACGACTACGAAGCGTTTAGACCTCTACACTTATCTTCCTTTATCTATTTTTAATTCGCGCTTTACACATAAATCACGCTTTACAAAATCGGTTTACAAGATGATTCCCAAAGATCAGTACTTGTCTGTCTATGTGATGGTCATCATGTGTCCATAAAGTCTTCCCGAATAATTGTAGGATTTACCAGTTTCACTACAAATAAATATAAATCTTTATACATATATAAGAATTTACATTACAGAGAAGGATTTGCGCTATCTTTTTCAAAAAAAGCATTTGAAGTCTCAGTCTTACAAGAAGGGTAATACGTAACATGCTTCTAAGAATTACAGCTAGTAAATAATATAAATCCTTTCCGTATGCTCGAGCAATCCTACAGTAGTATTCTTCGTATCCATATCAATTGCAAAATATAAGTTCCGTTT